ATCCTTTAAACTAAGAGTTTTATGATCGAAAAACCTTATTTGAGCATAATATTGGGTTGGGGAGAATGAGTCGGCGCCGAAATTTAAAGAAACTTTTTGCACCCATAAAACCTTCTTTAAATACACGTTTTGTTTCATCAAAATGGTCCACTATTTCTTTACAAAATGGCTTTTGAGAGATTCCACAAAGCTTTTCTTTTTGGGGATTTTATGGATTTCCAAACACAGCTAATCAAAATGACAAAAAGTCCGACTCATTGCTTGAACAGTTTCTTCCACATAAATCTCCTTTGGTGTTTATATAAAAAAGATAGAGCACACTCAATTACATAAGTTACCAAATTTTCAGGAAGATCCCTCCAACCGTTTACTCTAGATGACAGTTTATCGATTTTGTGAAAAAAATGATCCTCTGTTGAGTTGAGGCGCTGTTTGAGTTCTCTTTTAAATATTATTTTGTAGAGAATTAGTTACCCTTCTACGGATATCAAACGCATATCATTTGACAAAGTCTGCTATAAGTTTTAGAAATTTCTTTGATTTTCGGCGCCGGCTCATTCTCCCCAACCCAATATTTTAAAATCTGTATTTCAAGAATGAATGGATCCCATTGAAAACGGTTCTAGTTGGATTGGGATCGGCATTGGATCCCGATTCCCGATTCGACTTATACAACTCATTTAACAAGCGCTTGAATGAGCGCTAGTCGACATCTTTTTGTTGAATCTGCCATTTTCGCTTTTCTCTATTAAAAATTGTTAAAAAAATCTTTTAAACATTTCTTCAATGCAAAAATAGCGTTTAACATCACTTAATAACATTAAGAATCAGACTTCAGTCTTTTGGCTGAACTGTAGAAAAGCAGTCAAATGACTTTGCCTTTGAGATTTGAGAGACGACTAGCGCTCTCTCAAGCGCTTGTTAAATGAGTTTTATAAATCCGATCAAGAAGTTTTTGGTAGATAAATGTAGCCAAGATTAAGGACTACAATTCTCTATATAATACTTGCCACATTTGAAATAAATTAGACATTTTCCAGCTACTTCCAAAAAGTTGTTGCCAAATACCTGGTCTAAATTATAAATTCGAATTAAATAAGCTACCAAATTGCAAGAAAAACTTACTAAAATGCCACTGCTTGATAAAACAAATGATAAAGAATGCAAGTTTTCTCAAGGAAATGCTTATATAGCCTATATTCTTAAAGGTTCAAAACTCAAGGTATTCGGTCTACCAAGCTGAATATCCATAGTTATTACTTCTATTAGAGGCTGAGCATCTATTAGAATAGAATACGGTACTTACATTTTCTTTCAACCAATCTTTTTTCTTTCTAGATCTCCGGTGTTGGCATTTATGCTCCATTGACGTCATCGGGTGATCTCTTTGTGAATGGAATCCTCTCATCATGTCATTCCAATTTGGGCCTCAAAACCCTTCAACAAACATTTTGGACTTTGCACAAAAAAGTGCAAACATTAATGGGTTGGCATACCGATCATCAACGGGAAGAAATTGTACAGGTAAATGGAGACGAATCGAGTTAGCCAGATTACTTTAGGTAGCTACACTACTGGACAATGAAATATGATATTTGAAAAACGATCGTCACTTTCGCGCCTCTGTAACTCCCTTGTCTTTGAGTTTAAACTATTAGTGTTATACATTTTCTGAAAGCTCTTTTCAAGGGCTACACAATGATAATATTAATATCTAGAAATACGCTAAAGACAAGGGAGTTACAGATGCGCAAAAGTGACGATCGTTTTTCAAATATCATATTTCATTGTCCAGTAGTGCAGCTTTTCATGGTTGTTTTACTTTAGATAGCTAGAAAACCGGCTTTAGGCTTATTAGAGTTGGTAATCGATAGTGTATCGAGTTTTATTAGCAATATGGACGATGGTAACAAGCATTTCATCTCATTTTCAGCTTCCCTTCGGTGTCGCCTATTTGACCTCAGTCCTCGATCTCTTCTTGCCGAAACAGTTCTTCTAACAAAGCTTTTTGTTCAATTTTTTTATACTTTTACTACTTTCTATTACTTTGTATTGTATTTGTACCTTTACTTTTTATAATATTATTTCCCTTTTCGAATCGATTGCCATGGGTAGATATTTATAAAGTCTTAAACCTTTGTTGTGTTGTTATTTTTTTTGAAGTGCAATGTCTTTCATCTCAATTCATTCAATTGTGCAATTTGAAATATTCTGGAATAGAAATGATAATAAATGGGTTTTCTAAAATTAGTCAAAATACACAAACACAGCACTCGGCCAGTAAAGGCAGGCCTGGGCTGCAGCAATAGTTCGTAGATGTTGGCCAGTGGCTGTAAGTCCGTCAGTTCAGAAGGCAGATACAGAAAACCGGTCTGGTTTGTGGTGAGCTCAATGGGTTTTTGTGGACTGCAGTAATGCCGACTAGCTTCTGATCTGGTTCTGGCGAAGTTGCCTTTAAAGCAACCCTCATCATTGAGAATGCTTTGAATCCAGTTCTTCGGACCCAGTGCTGCTTTTAAAAGGCTAAAAAACGGTTCGGCTGGTCAAGCTAAGCCAACCTGACTTTGACCTGGCTTGTTAGAAGAATCCTGGCATTGACTGAACACATGTTTAGTCTAGAAAGTTCAGAAAGTTTGGAAAGTTCGCGCTGTCCAGTTTGTAGCTCAATTGGCGCATTTGTTGGTTTTGAAAAGAAGTACGTAAAAGAAAAGAAACGACTTTTTGGCGAGTTGTGCTAAATATTTAGCGTTATACACTCTAGATTACAAATTTACATCAAAAAGTCGTTCCAAAGTAAGACAAATGACTATGAAAAAGGATGAATTGTTCAACGAACGAAAAACTCAATTGTTGTCTCGTCAGAATACCCCTTTTCTCTCCCAATCTAGTTATATATTGTTCAAATTTTTGTTCATTTTCTTGCTGTTAAGATAATGTTAAATACAAGCTCAAACAGTTAAATCATTGCTTTCATTCTGTTTCGAATAAAACTTGGTCTATTTTGCTTGAATCCTTCCACATTTTAGCCCGATTATTGGATTCGTGCAACTAAATCGTTTGAGTTGAAGTAAAGGTATAAATAGTGGGTAAAATTGTGGTTGATTAACCAAAGAAGTTTGTATGATAAGGTGCAAAAGACTAAAAGTCTTGATTCAAGCACATAAACTAGTGTTAAAACGAGACTTTTCGAACAACAGCCTAGGCATACTGTAACCAGGCACTCAGCTTTCGAATGGTACAGAGAAAACTATAGGTTAATTGGTTGGTTAGTTTATGAGGAGCTCAACTTAACGCTTTATCAACAAAATAAAAGAGCGCTAAGAAGAATGGAAATTAATTTGATTCGAATTGATTAATTCGATTCGATTTGATTAATTCGATTCGATTTGATTAATTCGATTCGAATTGATTAATTCGAGAAAGCGATTTGGTTACATTCACTTTTTATATGCAAACCCAAGTCAAAAGCGTCAAAAGAGTCAAAAGCGTCAAAAAAAAAGTCAAAAAGTAGTTCATTTTCTCTATCACATACTCAATGATGTCAATCCTAATCCGAAATTGAACAATGTGTACCAAAAAGTGATGTAATATCACATCTAATAACTAATGTCATTTCTTTTCCTTTCCAGCTCATCCCCTTTTTCCCTTTAGATATACATGTGGGGCTTAAGAAGTGTAGGTGTCCATCCATTGTAGATAATTAGTTCATTTCCTTTCATCCTTTCATCCATATTCACTGATCCTTCTTGATCCACCCCAAGAAATACGACGAGACGCCGAATTTACCTACCTTTTTTATGTTTTATAGCATTTTAGCCTTTACTTTACTTTACTTTACCTTTACTTTTTCTACTTTACCTTTACTCCTTCTACTTCACCTTTACTTCATCTTTACTTTACTTTACTTTACCTTTACTTTACTTTACTTTACCTTTACTTTTTCTACTTTACCTTTACTTCTTCTACTTTACCTTTACTTCATCTTTACTTTACCTTTACTTTACCTTTACTTTACTTCAGTTTTGGTCAGGATTCTATTTGGGCTTGAGGAATTCTAATACAGTGCGGTGCAAAACCATACGCCACCCCCTAAATTTCAACTTTCTGCGGCTCCCGTGCCAGTAACAAAAAAAACTGAAAACGTAGTTAGATTCAGAACCAAAAATAAAGTAGATTCAACACTCTAGTTTGTCATCTTTAGTCGATAAATTCTTATCGGATTTGGGCCAGCCAATAGATGAGCCTAGATCTGGTGTATCAAAGCTGGAATTTGATAACGTTCCTATCTAATGCCTGGCCAGTGAAGCTTAAACTTAGACTGGACCCTAGGGCAGATTGAAACAATCTTGTCCACTGAGATCTTGTCCACAAGGGTTACTGAGACAAAAAGTAAGGAAAAGTAAAGAATTAAAACCGATAAAAGTAAGGAATTAAGCCAGGATGCAAAAGTTTACGCAGACTATGACATTTTCCCGGCTTTTTCACGGGTTATCAAGTTTTCGACCTCGACAAATCTTGGCAAAAATCTCGTTAAGTCATTAGGTTAAGTCTAGTACTAGTACTTCACGGATCTATTAGAATTCATTCTGGTACTAGAATGAATTCTAATAGATCCGTGAAATGACTGGTAGTGTGCTAGGTGTTGAACTTGATTCCAGCTTTCAAAAACGATCAGAAACGATTTCTTGGTCGCTTCGAGGATTTTATCCTTTCCTCTATTTATCAGCTCAAAAATCATTTCAAATCCTCCATCCGCCTTTCGGGAAATTTATTTTCCTCACATTTCACATCCAGTTGGAGAATTCCAAAGCCAAAAACTCCGGAAAACTCCAAAAACAAATGGGTTTTCTTTGGGAAAAGTCTAAATTTTTCAAAACAACTTTTCAAAACTTTAGAGAAACAAATATAGAAAAATCTTTTTCTAGTTTTTTCTTCAAACTACCGGGTGAATGCGGGAATTATTTCTATTATTTGTTTTGTTTCTTCTCACTTCCGGGAGCATGTTTCTTCAGCCGAGGAATCACATCGCCGAGTTGCATCATTTGAATGCACAAGTTAGACGTGAGTTTGGCACATGTTTTAGTTTAGATCTTAAGCTATAAACTAAAGGAATTGATGACTTTGCGCTTGGTTTATCACTTGAAAATTGCTTACAATTAGCCAGCTCAAGCTGATTGTTATTGAAGGAAGAAAATTGAAGCGAAAATAGGGAAGCTTTTCAAAGTTCAAAGTTCAAAGTCCCTAGGGCTTCATCTGGTGTACTTTGTGCTCTTAAAAGATATAAACACACCTTCGCTGGTGCACTTGGTTCTTCATTTCCATTACTAGTTCAATAATCGTGTCTTTTTGACGCCTTACCCAGAGATATAGATTGATCTAACTTTGAACTCAAATTTCTTGGTGTTGGGCTGTTCAATTTCAATTTCCTTGGTATCATTAGATGCGCCAAGTCTTTCTCTATCGATTGGCACAAAAACTATTTGAATTGGACAGCTCAACACCAAGATATTTGAGCTTGAAGTTAGATTGTTAATGGGGCTTTGCCATTGGCAACCTAACTTTAAACTCCAATAGCTTAGCGTTGGGCTGTCCAATTTAAATAGTTTTTGTACCAATCGATAGAGAAAGACTTGATGCATTTAATGATACCAAGGAAATTGAAATTGAACAGCCCAACACCAAGAAATTTGAGCTCAAAGTTGGATTGTTAATGGGAAAGGGGCGGGGCGTTGCTTTTATACGGACCCCGCCCGGCCCCCAACTACATGCAAGTCGACATCAATTTGTGTTAAGCAACAAAATCTCTACATCTTTAGAATTTCTACACGACCGAAAACAACAATATGGGAAACAATATGAAAAAAGCAGTGGAAGAAGAGGAAAGAAAGCTGAAGCTGCTGAAAATATCAATGAATCGATGCTGAAACAACCGTTGTTACGGTAAGGAAAGTAAAATAAAATAAAAAGGAATCACTTAAATCCAAAGAAGCGCTATGTAGTCTAAAGGATTCTAGCATTCATGGCATTCATGGATTCTAGCAAAGCATTCTAGACATCGGCACTACAAACTACAAATGCTTCTAAATTGCTTCATAACTGTCGAATTGACATGATCTATAGCTCAAAAAATAGGGAATTTCAAGAGCTTTCGAATAGATTAAAGCACAATCAAAAATATCAATGCTAAAGAACGTTACAGTGATTTGTAGTCTGGCGGAGCGTACTTCTAGTCCGTCAGACTCAGACTACGTCAGACTACAAGTACGCTCCGTCAGACTACCAATCACTATAACATTCTTTAGCATTGATATCTTTAAGTGCGCTTTGATCCATTCGAAAGCTCTTGAGATTCTCTATTTTTTGAGCTATAGATTATGTGAATCCGACAGTTATGAAGCGGTTTAGAAGCGTTTGTAATGTGACAGTTCGTCATTTTTATCGTTTATAGTGCCCACATCTAATGCATTCTCTAAAACTAAACGTTCCTGTCAACTAGAAACAATAGCCATTCCAAATCTGCCAATTTCTTTACCAAGCGATATCTTTCTCTAGCGTTTTACCCAAATTTCTACACAGAACACGTTCTAATAGCTCAATTTAATGGCCTAGATGAAGAAAAAGGTCAAATTTCAGTTTACCGTAAGAAAATATTATAAAACCTAAAGTTTAAAGATAAAGATAAAGATAAAGATAAAGATTAAAGATAAAGATTAATGATAAAACCTCAAGACTAAAGATTTATCTACAAGTACATCACTATTTTCTTGTCTAACAATTCCAAACTTTAGATTAGAAATCAAACTGTAACTTTCACATTGAAAATTAGAGAAAGAATTGAGTACCGTATTTTCTCTAATAGTAGTGCACGAGCCGAGTTTGACGACTATTTTATCATTTCCAAGTTTTCACAGAAACTCAACACTCAAATCCCCCACAAGATCTCATCGTCAGCTACATTTTCCGATCCCACATCGATAGGTTCTGATAAGCGGTTCTCGAGATTTCGAGTAATTTAGGTGACTAGGGAAAATACGGTCTTCTCCCCTTTGAGCTATTTGAGCTATCTACCCTATTGATGGTCTCGTGGTGGTGATCATGACGCGGTGGTGACAAATTTCACCACCACCATCAGATGGTGGTGGTGACCGTGGTGGTGACAAATTTTCGTGTATAGGGCGGTCAAGAAAACAAAAAATTCTCAAAAAAAGTGAAAGTTAAAGAAAAAAAAACAGTTTTGGCACCAGGAGTGCCACGAATAGCCATTTAAAGTTTTTCTAAAATTCGGTTTGAAAAGAGGCCTTTTTTTGGAGACACCCTGTAGTAAAGTGCTGTTGGTTTGCTCAACAAACTCTGGGATTACGGGTAATTGTCACTCCTTAATAGTAGTGCACCCCGGCGAGCCGAGTTGGTGACTATTTTACGGTTTCCAAGCTTTTGCAGAAGCTCAACACTCAAATCCCCCACAAGATCTCATCGTCAGCTACATTTTCCGATCCCACATCGATAGGTTCTGATAAGTGGTTCTCGAGATTTCGAGGAATCTAGATGACGATCAGGGTGCAATACTATTAGAGAGAGTACGGTCTTCAGCAAAAACAGAAACACCTGCAAAGCCTGGATTACGGTCGGCTTACGGTTGGACAGAAGGGCTACAGTCTTCTAAAAGATCCGATTATGGAAGAACTACCGTACTTCAGTCATCTTTTAAAATTTGATCAATAAAACTACCGGCTTTTCTCTAATAGTAGTGCATCCCGCCGAGCCGAGTTTGATGACTATTTTATCGTTTCAAAGTTTTCCAAGAAGCTCAACACTCAAATCCCCCACTAGATCTCATCGTCAGCTACATTTTCCGATCCCACATCGATAGGTTCTGATAAGCGGTTCTCGAGATTTCGAGCAATTTAGATGACGATCAGGGTGCACTACTATTAGACAAAAAAATACGGTATTTATAAATTTTTGAATGCAAACTTACTTTAAAATTGTTAAAGCTTTGCCAAACAAAAAAAGAAATAGTTTACTTTTCCAGTTTCGACCTCCTTTGGCAGCGTTTCCACGGTCCATCCCGAAAGCGCACCTCGAGTTCCCATTTTTTCTGATTAAACCCTTTTTTTTCCTTTTCCTAATCCTCACTATCATCATTTTCCATTGTTGTTTTCGAGTTCGATTTTTGTTTTAAAAAATTTCGATAACATTTCAAATCCCGTTTGTCCATTTTTCACTTGGAAAAACCTATTAAAATTCTGTTGTAAAAAAAATGTAACAAAAATTTCTTTATTACATGGTAAAACCAAAAAAAGAACCTATTCACCCGCAAAATAACAAGAAAATTCCATTTAAAAGTGGAGCGTACTTGTAGTCTGAGTCTGACGGACTACAAGTACGCTCCGTCAGACTACAAGTACGCTCCGTCAGACTACAAGTACGCTCCGTCAGACTACAAATCACTATTGGTAAATTGGGGATATTTTAAGCAACTCTTATCGTAATGCTAAGCACTTTTTAAGCATTTTTTTAGCATTTTGACAAAAACCCTGAGCCCGTTTATATCGGAAAAAATTGCTAGGCAGAAAAATGAATAAATTAGAATGAAAGAAATCTTTGAATCATTACAAATCTTTGAATTCACTCCATGGATCGGATTGGGCATTTGATGAGGGAGATTGGATGACAATCGGAAGAATTCGGAAAACATTCGACCAAACGAGTGGGAGAACGAAAAAACACAAAGAAACGATGACACCGGTGGCCGTCGAGGCGATGTTGGCCGCCTGGAAATTGGTGAAATTGATTGGATTGGAAAATTTGCTTCTAATAGTAAGTTCGCAATTGATCTTCTAAGCTCGCAATTGATCTTAGATCTTAGATTCCAAAGGAAAAGTCACAAGGGTGAGATAGCCAAATGAAATGAGCCATAGGACGCAGCCATAGGACAAATAAACATCAAAATAAAATGAAAACAAGAGGAAGGGATCGCACCCGAGCAAGAACTTGAGAGACAGTTTTGGAAACAAGACTCCTACACTCCAACAAGACTCCACTACACCCTAGACTCCAACAAGACTCCACTACACCCTAGACGCCAACAAGACTCCACTACACCACAAGCTCGCATTCGAAACGGTGAAAGAAGCCTTATATACGTGGTGATTTTTGACCTCTAATTTCACCTCAAACTTTGTTTGAGGTGAAATTAGTTCTTTGTTTGTTTGCCAATTTTATTGGCAATGCTTTTTTCGAATCATTTAGCAAAAACGGTTTGCAGTATTGGAATCAGCGTCAAATTCTGCGTTCTATGGCTCAGTCATTTGGCTATTTGGTTCAGTTCAGCCTTTGTGACTTTCCCTTATCAGCTTCTGATAAGGGAAAGTCAACCTAGCTTCTTAAAGTTTTAGCATGACTAGAATTGGTGCCTCTCAAGTAAACCGTTTTCTAAAACATGCCAACTTTCTAATTTTGTCACTTTTTGTGTCAGATTGTAGTGAGTAAAGTGACGAGTTTGTTAAAATTCACAAAAGATATCGAAAGATACAAAATTTGGGAAAAGAATTGACAAGAGTTGGGAAAGGTTACAGTAGTTGGGAAAGGCTGTAGTTGGAAAAACGCTTTAGGGCAACAGCGAGTGATTTAGTCTTAAATTGAGCTTGAAAAGCCACAAGCAAGTTAGAATTGGCTGCTTCGATCATTTAGGCTGATTTAGGATCATTTAGGATCATTTAGGCTAATTTAGGATCCTCTAGGATCATCTAGGATTGTTTAGGATCCTCTAGGATCATTTAGGATCATTTAGGATCCTCTAGGATCATTCAGGATCATTTAGGATCCTCTAGGATCATTTAGGATCATTTAGGATCATTTAGGCTAATTTAGGATCCTCTAGGATCATTTAGGATCATTTAGGATCCTCTAGGATCATTGAGGATCATTTAGGATCCTCTAGGATCATTGAGGATCCTCTAGGATCATTTAGGATCATTTAGGATCATCTAGGATCATCTAGGATTGTTTAGGATCCTCTAGGATCATTTAGGATCATTTAGGATCCTCTAGGATCATTGAGGATCCTCTAGGATCATTTAGGATCATTTAGGATCATTTAGGATCATTTAGGATCATTTAGGCTAATTTAGGATCCTCTAGGATCATCTAGGATTGTTTAGGATCCTTTAGGATCATTTAGGATCATTTAGGATCCTCTAGGATCATTGAGGATCCTCTAGGATCATTTAGGATCATTCAGGATTGTTTAGGATCATTTAGGATCATTTAGGACGAAAATCGTGTTAGACATTACTGATTATCGATTATCTACGATTACTCATTATCGATCGAAGATCTAGTTTTTATTCTCACAAACCTTTTCCTGTTCAGCCAGCGCCGCTTTGAGTCTCTCTGATGGGGATTGGGTGGAAGTGGATGCTTGTGGTGTCATTCTGAAACAATATTGATATAATAATATAATATCGAACGTTTGTTTTATAAAACATAAAGTCAAAACATTAAATCTAAAGTCTTTCAAAGCAAAAAGTAAAAAAGTTTACTCAGAAAATGAAAGTTCTTTTTAGTTTTTAAAATTTACTATTCTTTGTGGAATAGAATCAAGAAAATCGGGGAAAAAAAGGGGAAAATTGAACGTTTCAAAAGTGAAACTTTGAGATTTTAATGGAAAACAGCGATTTTTTTGAGTTTATAATGGGAAAACTTTAGAAATTTGATGAATTGACTCATATTTTTCAATACAATTGAGCAAAATCATGACAAAATTGGAAATTGGGCAAAGGTCAAGAAAGAAAAAAGGAATTCGGGGAAAAATTCATGACGAAACTTTTGATTTCAGTGACTGTTTGAGAGAAAAGAACAAAAAATGGGTTGTGGGTTGATATCGTAAAAAAAGTGATAGTGATGACGAGAGATAAACGTTTTTTGAGGGAAAAGTTTCGATTTCTCATCGATAACAAGTAAAATTTGTTTTGAGCAATCTATTTTTATGCTCGAGTTAGCTGATCATTTTCATTTGTTTAGACATTTGAAAGAGATTTGAGCAATGGTAAGAGGTTAGGTTCGGTACTTTGTATACTTTGTGTACTTTGTGTACTTTGTGTACTTTGTGTACTATGTACTTAGCACAAAGTACATAGTACACAAAGCGCAGAACATGGTCTAATAAGAGTTGCCATTGCTCATTGTAAACACATTGTATCCGGCACACTTTGATTGCATTCTAAGAGATGCATTGCATTCTCTAAGAGATTTATTCTCATTCTCTAAGAGAAACGCTTCAGTTTAGTGAACCAGAAAGAAAGCAAAAGCAAAAGCAAAAGTCAGAAACAGGAATATTCCAACAAGGCTCGTTTCCTTATATACGTTACGTCCGTTCTTGAATTTCGTTCGATTCAAAGCCGGACGTCTGCTATTGAATCTATTCAATGACGAACGTCTGTTATTGAATCTATTCAATGACGGACGTCTACTATTGAATCTATTCAAAGCCGGACGTCTGTTATTGAATCTATTCAATGACGGACGTCTACTATTGAATCTATTCAAAGCCGGACGTCTGTTATTGAATCTATTCAATGACGGACGTCTACTATTGAATCTATTCAAAGCCGGACGTCTGTTATTGAATCTATTCAATGACGGACGTCTACTATTGAATCTATTCAAAGCCGGACGTCTGTTATTGAATCTATTCAATGACGGACGTCTACTATTGAATCTATTCAAAGCCGGACGTCTGTTATTGAATCTATTCAATAACGGACGTCCATTTCTGGATCGGCTGTCCGTTTTTGAATCGTCCAACCTACACCATGACGGTTTTCTGTAATGATCTATGGTTTTTGCGAGTTATTTTAAAATCCGCCGTTATTCGATAGCTGCTTCATTCGGCTGGTATTCGATAAACTGCCTAAAAACCTTGTTCTTAAGCTTAAGCATTTTTTTTGACCCCAAAAATTAACGAGCCTAACAAAAGCCCGGGTTATCCCCAAGATGGTAAAAGCCAAAGTTCTAAAGGTGAGGTGATCAGTGAGAGCATGGCTTCTGGCCTGCTGAAGCATTAGATCCAGAGAAATCCAGAGAAAAAAAGAGAAAATCAACTGATCAATCAATTTATTGAAATAAACTGAAAAAAATTGGGCTTACTAGAAAAGATGGGGGAAATTTCGGCAAAATAGTCTCTATTTATCCCCACCAAAAACACCGAAATGTGTTTATCAGCTGATTTTTCCAGCTTAATACATAGATTTCAGTGCCAATGCTGATAAAAAACCACGATATTGTTTTCAAAAATCAAATCGACTCTTAAAAATAGAACAAACATTTGGTAGTTGCTCAAATCTGGCTCTTTATAGTTCAAAAATCTTTTTAAACCTTTTCAAATGGGAATTTTCACTTGAAAACTTGACTGTTCATTTTCTATTTTTTATCTTTACTTTTGGGTTTTGTCAAGTTTCGATTAGAGTAAAAAAAATCGGCAAAAATTGGACGGAAATTTGAGTATTGATTGGAACAAAGTACAGAAAAGACCAAAAACGCAGAAACGGTTAAATCTTATTTGAGGTTAGAGATGAGATCTTGCGGATGAGATTGGACGATCAAACTCACAAGCTACAAGGTCGTTGAAACATGGCTAGACAAATCCAGCACACTCAGCTGATCGGACAAATCCAGCTGATCAGACAAATCCAGCTGATCCAATTAAATTTGCTACACTAGTTCATTTGTAAAACTCTTGCAAATGGACATGTACAAATGTAAATGAATATTTTTGTAAAAGAACAATTCAACTTTCAGTAGCTTCAGGAATCCCCAGAACCCCCCAGAACCCCCAGAACAAATAAGTCCGAGTTTTCCTTCGAACTTGACCTTTTCTTTTATATCAAATGACCTGAAGCGAGAATAAAAAGGATAAAAAGGAAAAGGATCCAGGTGGTGCCTACATTTTTTTTCTCTAATCAAAGCTGATTGATCATGATGACCTTGGCCAAATTTGATTTGGCTGGTAAATCACGATTTTTTTCAGGAAATCCAAATCAATCAAAAAAACAATCAAAAGAGATTTTTTTCAATTAAAAGAGATTTACGAGAGTGATCAGCTGAAATTTTTCTGTGAACTGTGAACAAAAAGTTACGTTTTTTTTTTTTCTTCGAAACCCACTGATTTCCACCAAAGAAACGAGTCTTTTCAGTTAAAGAAACGAGAAAAAAAAAGCTCAGGTCAAGGTGATTTATGGAAAAAGTTTGTGATTAGATCAAGAAATTTCTCTGCAAATTCGATTACAGGCAATTTGCGGATTCCTCTTTCGTAGTAGGATTTTGGTTTGTGTGTGAGACAAGTGTGAGACTCAAAAATCGAGGACTGGAGATAAAGAACTGGAGATGGAGACTGGAGATGTCCCAGTTTAGCTGATCAAGTATGGTATTCGTGCAGTTGAAAGTGGAAATTATTGGCTTGGTGAATTGAAAACTGCGGGCGATTGTCATATGTGACTGTTTGAGCACTTTCTTCAAAAGAAACCCATTTTGGTGTCAATGGAAAAGTTGTAGAGAATCAAAAATAAAGCTCATATCCAAATTTTCAGAACGATTCAAGAAATGCCAAATTTAAGAAAGAAATGCCAAATTCTCACAAAACTTGCATTTTAAGCGAAACTACTAAGTGTATCTTTTTGAAAATTTGGCTATAAGCCTAATTTTTGATTCTCTACAACTTTTCTATTCACACCAAAATGGGTTTCTTTTGAAGAAAGTGCTCAAACTGAGATCTCCAGTCTCCATCTCCAATCCTCCATTTTTGAGTCTCACGCTTGTCTCACACACAAACCAATCCGCAAAGAGGAAAGAGGAATCCGCAAATTGCCTGTAAAATGGGCAGAAGTCGTCAATAATAATGGAAATTATTTGGAATGAATTGATGGTTTTATGCTGAATAAATTTTAGTTCAAAGTCCGGCAGTTTTCAATTCACCGGCAGAGCAATAGACCTGGCAATTTTCCGTGTAAACATTAATAGTTGTTCAAAAGAAAAAAAATGTCATATTTTGACTCGAAATTTCACTTTAAATCTTTTTCTCTTTGATTTTAATCGATAGAAAAAGAAATTCTTTGTAAATTGATATTAAAATCAAAAAGATTGAAGGGAAATTTGGCCAAGATATGGCCAATTTTCCATTGCACGCGTTAACACCGAAAATTCCCCAGATCTAGTGGAAACAAACCCTTTCTGGCACAGTCGTTAGCTGAAGCTTTAGCCGAAGCTTTAGCTAAGCTGAAGTTTAAATCAAAAAACCAAAGTCCTTTAAAGTAGTAGCCTTTGAATTTTTGGATTACAGAACAACTCAAATTGCAGGTACATGTGCTTTTACATATCTAGTTTGTGGAAAACTTGGTCACAATATAAATCAAAGTTTCAAATACATGATTTCTGGGTTAGACTAGGCCAGGAAAGATCAGTTCTTTTACTGCATGATACTGATTTTACTGCAAGTATCATGCAGTTCTGTCTGAGGCTCAGGCTTAGAAGTTTATGGTCTAAAAGATGGAAAAGTCAAAGCCCAATGCGAGCGAGATTCTGGACTGGCTTTACTGACTTTACTGGCTTTACTGGCTTTACTGCAAGCCTTGCTGCAAGCTTTACTGGCTTTACTACAAGCTTTACTGGCTTTACTACAAGCTTTACTGGCTTTACCACAAGCTTTACTGGCTTTACTACAAGCTTTACTGGCTTTACCACAAGCTTTACTGGCTTTACTACAAGCTTTACTCACCCAAAAAAGCTCTTGGTTCCGTCAGGTTTGAAACTGGCCTGAATAACCAAAACGAAAAAAAGTCAATGTTCCAAAAATGAAAGAACAGCTCCGAACAGCGAAAAAATCAGTGCTTCAAAATGAGGATTTCAGAGCGGAAATGAGAGCGAATTGTTCCCATTTTCTCCTTTTCTTCTTTTCCTTTTCCTTTTCCTTTTTTTCCATTCTCCAATCGTTTTCTTTTCACTTTAACCCACTTACCCAGACTCACGTAAAAAAAAGTCGACAAGAAAATGAGAGCTGTAAATGGGCTCTTTTCGCTTTTCTCTCAATCACTCTTTTCCTCAACAATGACTAAATAAAAAAGATTTCGAAAAATGAAAAGAAATCGAAGAAATCGATTGTATTACGAAAGTTTACAATTAGAAGTGCGAAAAATTTGTGATTCATTGTAAACTTGTAATCAAATTTGTTATTGCAAGTTTCCATTCGCATTGCATTGCATTTGCTATTATTTGCAAAAAGCAAAAATTGTTTGATTGATGATGAAATCTGTCGAGGAAATTCTTTGGAGATCTTTAGAGAGGAAAGATTAGAGGAAGAAACTTGTTTTTGACAGAGTTTGACGTTTTTGACAGAGTCATTAATACATCGTTAGTATTAGCTTGGTAAATATGAAAGGTTATTTTTTTGATCATTTTTAACATAACAGAAAAATTTATTTAAACACTTTCAAAATAAAATGTATTCACCACAAGCATTAATAACTTCTTTCCAACGTTGCCCCAAATCACGAATACCGTCCTCGTAAAAATGAAGATTTTTAGAGGCAAAATAGTTGCCAACCCAATTTTTGATGTCCTACTTTTGTTTGAACTGCTGTCCAGAAACTGCTTGTTTCATTGACCGAAAGAGATAGTAATCCGATGGGGCTAGATCATGGCTGTATGGTGGGTGTGGAAGAAGTTTCCAGCTCAACGTATCGATTTGTTCTTGGACGATCTTTGAAATGTGAGGCCTAGCATTGTCGTGAAGAAATTTGACCTTCGATGGATCGATCCTCTTTTTCCTCAATGCTGGATCGACTCGACCCATTTGTTCTGCATAAAGTCTTCCGTCAACAGTGTCTCCTTTATCTAATATTTCCAACTGAGCCAATCCCTTAGCATTCCACCACACACAAAGCATAACTTTTTCGGAGGCTTCGGGATAGAATGAGAGGTCCGCTTCGAACTCAGCCACTGTCCATAGAGTTGAATATTTTCATACGAAAGCCAAGTCTCATCAGATGTCAAAAAATACTTCCAAAAGTCACGATGGCTAGCTTTACGTAGAAGAACAGAGCTCAAGGTGACTCGTGTGACTTTGTGGGCATCAGTGAGGTCGTGGGGGAGCCATTTCCCGCTTCGATATGATTTCCCAAGAACGTGTAAATGGTAACATGAGTGCATCCGAACTTTTCTGCTAATTTTCTACACTTTTGCGATGGATCCAAGTTGACCTCGTTCAGTAACAGCTGATCGTCCAAAGTAATCGGCGGCTTTCCATGTGGTGCGTCTTCCAATGACTCGTTTCCCGTTTTGAAGCGACCGTACCAAACACAACATTGTTTGTAAGTAAGAGTAGCTTCTCCAAAAACAGTACAAATGTTCTGATGGCATTCCGTAGCTTTCTTGTTTAACTTGAATTCAAAGAAAATGGCGGCCCTGATTTTAAATTTTTGGTTATCCATCTTTGCCGAGCTGAAACAATACAAATACTGTTCAAAACAAAAATGTTTTTGCAAAAAAAACATGAGCACATTTTGACATATTATTGAGAAAAATCCTAGACAGGGAATGTTCTTCGTAACGACAGGGCAATATTTTTGTAAAAAATAACCTTTCATATTTACCAAGCTAATATTAATGACCAATAAAGCAAAAAGAAAGCACCTTTTCATTATAGGTTTTGTTTAGTTGATTTTAGTTTTCTAAATGATAGATAATTTAGATAACTACCTTAATCTATTTCTCAAATTTTATAAGGAATCAAACTTTGCACTGAATGGGATAAATAGAAGGGACAAAGGCTAAAAGAAAAGCTACAGTAGCTTCTCAAATTCCCCATCTTTTGAGGAACTAACTTACTCGGCAGTAATTTCAAGCTAATATTTACATTAGTTACAGATCTTTAAGCTATAGTAGACCCAGTAGTGAACATTTGATCAAATAACAATGTTACTTTCGATTGAACTCCACCAAAATGCCTCGATTTGTCCTTTAGAATACAGCAAATGGAGAAACTCAAGGAGATAATCGGTGATGTATCTAACAATAAGCTTGATTTAAACTTGACTAAAGCTTGATTTGGATACAAAAGATATGGCCAAAGCCAATACGGTTCCTATTTCGTATTGGAATCATATTGGATTTGGCATATCTTTTGGATAAAGTTTAAATCAAGTTTATTGCGAATATTTTACCATATGATTTTGATGAATATTAAATGATTATTCGATGCAAAATCGTGGATTATTCAAAGAAAACGAGCTTGATTAGAGGTTATTTGTACGCTCATTGCATTTGGATTAGAGTGTGTTCCATGCAGACAACGCGTTTTCGAAAAAGCGAACGCCAAGGATAAGCTACCATAACCCTAAGCTTTGCATCTTTGCATCAGCAAATTTTTCAAAATGCAAATGTATTTTAAAATCTTGCGCTCTTTCTTTTCTATTACTCTTTCCTTAACTCTATTACTCTTTCCTTAACTCTATTACCCTTTCCTTAACTCTATTACCCTTTCCTTAACTATATTACCCTTTCCTTAACTCTATTACCCTTTCCTTAACTCTATTACCCTTTCCTTAACTCTATTACCCTTTCCTTAACTCTATTACCCTTTCCTTAACTCTATTACTCTTTCCTTAGCTCTATTACTCTTTCCTTAGCTCTATTACTCTTTCCTTAACTCTATTACCCTTTCCTTAACTCTATTACCCTTTCCTTAACTCTATTACCCTTTCCTTAACTCTATTACTCTTTCCTTAACTCTATTACTCTTTCGCTAAAACTTAAAATTTTTAAATGCTATTTAAAATTAAAGAAAACATTTAAAACGGGAAAAGTTAAGAAACACTATTAAAAAATAATATTATTTACGAATTTACCAGGCCTATTGTCTACATTTGCACTAAAACCATTCCAAAAAAAAATTGCACGCCCTAAAACGTTGTCGGAAGTTTGTCGGATCAATTGTCTGACAAAAAAGTTGTCAATGAAAATTTGTCTGACAAATTGTCTGTCAACAAGGAGCACACTCTAATTTGGATGTACCCTGTTCCAATAAGTTAAAGATTCAGGATTGGTAAAGAAGAGATAAAAGATTCGGAATCAATAAAAGATTCGGAATCTATAAAAGATTCGGAATCAATAAAAGAATTCGGTCTCCAATGTAATTCCAGTTTGATTCCAATTTGGTCAATTTTGTTAAAATGAAGTCAATAAGTATTTCATTAACAATTTTGGTAAAATGAATTTATCCAAAAGATATGCCAAATCTAATACGGTTCCTATTTCATATTGGAACAGTATTGGATCAAAATGGCATTGGATTGGATTCCAGTCAAAATCAATAACCACAAAAACAACTAAAGCACACAACTAAAGCACACAACTTAAGCACATATTTTGATAAAATCCAGAAAAGCAAAAAAATCCAGACGAAATACTAAAGAGATAAATGAAAACAGTGGGTTTTATAGCCCAACTTATTGTTCGACGCTATTGTGCTTTCCATAATTTTAGCAGTATTCACACTTTGGGAACACTAAAACGACGATTTTAGCTGTGTTTAGATGGCGGGTTACCACAAGACGAGTACAGGGTCCGAGAAAAGTATTGTAAATAACTCTTTGAACTAACTTTTATGCGATTTAAAAGTATCCTTTTACGTTGTGTAAAACATGAAAGAAACCCTAAAATGACCTTCCAGCAGGACTGGGCCCCGGCCCATGGAGCGAAAACCACAATGGACCTGATTCGGCGCGAATTGCCCTCTCATTTCACGAAAGAAGACTGGCCCAGGAACTCGCCGGACCTCAATCCTTTGGATTTTTCAGTATGGGGCTTCTTAGAGGAACGTTTGAGGCATAAGAAAATCACAAATCTGAGCTCGAGAAGGAATTGATCGCTGCCTGGAACGATATTGATGCCAACTACCTCCGTGCCACCGTCGGCTCAGTGATCCCGCGTCTGAAAGCCTGTATCAAAGCCAAGGAGTCCAATTTCGAACACTTGTTATAAATTTGAATTTTTGGTTATTTTTCTGTTATTTTTTTTCAATAAATATGTTAAAAGCTCAATTTTGAAAACAGATATGATGGTTGGAAAAACGACAAGACTTTTCTCGGACCCTGTAAACTAGATCTGTAACAAGTCAAAGTATAATTACAGTGGTACATACATGGTTCAGTACAAAACCAGGTATCCAAAGTTTCACTCAACTTTAATTAATCTTTCCTTGAATCTTTGCAACCTTCTTAATACTTAATAGCCAAATACTTCGCTTTCAAGATTTACCCCGGTTATGGTGCTATCGAGGACATCGTTTTTCAATATTTCATCAGAAACAAGAGCTACTGCAATTTACTGTAGTATTGACAAGTATCACTTAGTTTTTCTGAATTTTAAATCCCTTGTTCTAGCTATTTTTAAACAGTTAACTTGTAAGTTGTTTTCAAATACTTACAAGTCTTTGAGTCTTTGTAACTTGTAAGTGTAAATCTCCGGTCAATCCCAGAGCCCAAAGAGCAATTGGTTTCCAATGGCAACTTCCAATTTTGAGCTCATCAAGAGCTGTTTTTTTGAGAATCACTTTTGCCAATTTTATCATATTTGAAAGTTTCACGTTTGAAATGCCCTATTCACAAGCGAGGGTTAGTTTTGAGTTGTTAATTGCTAGAGGTGTTAATTGCTAGAGTCGTTAATTGCTAGAGGTGTTAATTGCTAGAGTCGTTAATTGCTAGAGTTAATTATAGTTTACAGTATACAGGGTGGCTGATAATTACGTGCGCCAAAGAAAACGCCATAATTTAATTTTCTTTCAAAGAAAATGTAAAAATCTTTATTTATATAATAGTTTTAACAAAAGCATTTAATAATCACAAGAAATTTTCGAAGTGGCCTCCATCCGCTTTGATACAGGCTTCAATTCGCTTCTTTACAGAATCGACGGTGCGGCGGAGATAATTTGCATCTAAGTCGTTCTAGATTTTGATCAATTCTCGACGTAAATCATTCAAATTGGTGATTTTTCTATTTCTCAATTGTTCTTCCATAAAACCCCAAACCGAAAAGTCCAACAGATTGAGATCCGGGCTGTTTGCAGGCCATTGATCCTTCGTCAAAAAAGAGCCAATTTTGGTTTCGAGAAAGCGAATTGTTGTTTTGGCTCCGTGGGCCGGCGCCCAATCTTGTTGAAGGGTCAAATTGGGATGGCTCCTCTTCCATGGCACGACAGCTTTTTCGAGAATCTCTTTTTGATAGACTTTTGCGTTAATCTTCACATTTTTATCGATAAAAACCAACGGGGTCTTGCCCGAAGCACTGATGCCACCCCAAACCATCAAACTTTTTGGAAACAGACCTTTTGTAGCGACTTTTCGTTTACGAGTGCTCTTGAGAGCTGGACTGAGAAGTTGAAGGTGATTTTGTGAGTTTTTAGCCACTTCCAAGGTGAAAATCTTCTCATCTGACCAAAGAACATCGTCAATGCGCCGCACCTTGAAAAAAGCTCGCAATTTCTTGCATTTCTCCTTCCGGTTTTGCTTGGCTTGATCGGTGAGCACTTGCCCGTTTAACAGTCGATAACTTCGAAGTCCGAGCTCATTTTTCACTATCGATTGAACCGAGAAACGCGAAATTTGAAGCTGTTTTGCCATCTTGTTCAAACTACGATCGTCTTTTCGCTCGATCCTCCTCTTGATGATCCCACGCATCTTTCGGGTGTTAACGGTCCTCTTTGGTCCTCTTCCGGGCTTGGACTGAACATGCCCCTCATCTTTCCATTGCTTTACGATCTTCTGGACGGTCCTCAGAGCCACCCCAAGCCTCGATGCGATCGACGAGTTCTTCATGCCGCTCGTCGCCAGCTGTGCGATTGCGTCCCGACTAGCGCACGTCTTTGTCATGACCTAGAAAACAACTTTTTTAACAAAAAATTATTAGACCACGATAAAAAGAATATTAAAACACAAAAAGATGAGTAGTAATGCTTTATACATTGTTTAAAACTATGATGCTGATGCTGCGCGCACGTAATTGTCAGCCACCCTGTAGTTGTTAAGATTTCATTAGAAAAGTAGTCTTGAGGAATAAATTTGAAATTCTCTAGCATTCGAGTTTTATTTCAAGCCTTCAACTTTTCGGTTTAGCGCTTTCAAAACGGGAACATCACGAATTTCGTCTACGCGGAGAACGTGATCATTCAACAAGGTGATCATTAATGTAACCTTACTGTATTATCGTTATCATTATCATTATCATTATTATCATTATCATTACTGTAACTTATGGTAAGTAAGTTAGTTAGTTGTAAGTTAGTTGTGGCTTAGATCATTCCTTAGATCATCTACACATAGGCGCTCGGAAAATAGCAAGTCTTAAACTTTCCTTTTAGATTCCCACGGTCGTGGGAGACGCCATCAATCACAGGATCGGAGAGGAGGTAAAGAAAGAAATAAACGATTTAAGAGTAATTTCTGATAATATTGTTGAATTCCTAGCAGTAATAAGCTTGTACTTTATGCTTAAAAAAAGCGTCAAATCGTTGTGAAAAGGAAAGTGATGAAGAAAGAATAGTAGAAAGGAAAGGCACTCTTTCTGGTGTGCTTTCTACTTTCTACTACTTTCTACTTTCTAATACTTTTTGCTTTCTACTACTTTCTACTTTAGCACAAGTGCTGTCATAAGTATTACGATCTGGTTTAGGAAACAAGTTCAACAACTACCATAATCGCAAATCGAGGAGTTTGCCGCGCTTAAATGTCGAAGCGCCACCCAGCTACAATCAAGCAATTTCACATCAGAGAAAGGTTCGAAAATCTTGATTTAAAATTTAAAATCTAAAAGATGCAAATTATAAACTGTTACTTTTGCTTTTAAACTCTCCATCAATCGACATAAATCTCAGCAAAATGGGACAGAAATGGGACAGAATTCGGTGAGACAAAAAATAAAGAAATGGAGCCACAAATGGAGGAGTGGCGATACAAACTCTCATGCCAAATTGTCATAACACAACTTTTTAAATGCAAATTCTGGACAGTCTTATGTCAGTCGATGGATGGGGAGATTTAAAGCATAAGTACCGATAAGATTTTCAATTTCAGAGAGAAGTGATTTGCACGAACTCCTTGAAAATCACCTCACATCCTCTTGTTTGGGGAAAGCTTCAAATTGTTGAAGTGAGTGAAAAACGTGTTTTTTTTGCCTTCTTTCAGCTATTTTATAGCTATTTTATTGTAATTTTTAGATTGAAAATTTCTCTGGTGATGATCAAAGTCTCCGCTTTCACGGTCATCGATGTCGTTGCTCGCATAAAGGATACAATTTGTGGTCTGGGAGGAGATTGAGGTATGTTCTGAAATGACGAAAAGAATTCTGTTATTCAGAAAAAGTAGTTCAAGAGTAATTATTAAATTACAACTGCTCTTTGAGAGCTTCTTCTACTAGTTTAATATTGTATTATACTGTAATACTGTAAGACCAAAAGTCCCCAAACTCCGAGACTCGCCACGGAATTTGGAAGGTCAACTTTGAGACAAATTTTCTCTATGTTCTTATCGGCGAGTCTACAAAACAAATTCTGCTTTTATATAACCAAATTTAATGAAGATTCTATTAAAACTAACCATACGTTGATTCAGCTTCTATACCTCGAGTTATAGACCATCTAGGTTGGTCAACCTTTCCGGATAGCTAATTCAAATTCGATACAAAATTTCGCGATGTTTTTATATCTGAGTTTACAAAATAAATTCTACTTTTCTATAACCAAATTTCATGAGGATTATTTTAAAACTAATCTTAAGTCAATCGGATTACTGCACGTCGAGTTATAGAGTAAAATAGAAGAGTTCCCAAACTGCGAGACTCCTATTTGGAAGGTCAACTTTGATACAAAATTTCGCGATGTTTTTATATCTGAGTTTACAAAATAAATTCTACTTTTCTATAACCAAATTTCATGAGGATTATTTTAAAACCAACCTTAAGTCAATCGGATTACTGCAAGTCGAGTTATAGAGTAAAAGAGTAGGGTATACTAGTCTACCCTACACTTTGGAAGGTCAACTTTGACACAAATTTTCTCTATGTTTTTATTAATAAGTAGACAAAACAAATTTCACTTTTCTTTAGTCAAATTTAATTAGGATTCTTTTAAAAACAATTACAAGTCGATTCGAGTGAATCAAGTGAGTTACTCGGCTGAAGGAAAAACAGTGATATGACCTGACAGATCTGACAGAGTGTCAAAGTTTCACACTAGACTCTAGTTAACCACGTCAGGCTTAGATTGAAAATTACTTGCCAGGACTGCCTTCTGGCATGCCCAGGTACTTTTCAACCAACCTTAAGTCAATCGGATTACTGCAAGTCGAGTTATAGAGTAAAAGAGCAGGGTCTCCAACTTTTCAACCCTTGCAGCAAAGCCAGACAAAGTCAATAACTGGTCTGGTAGACCCAGAAAATGTGATTTTAAACATTACAGTGATAGAGTACTGCAAATTCGTACTGCAAATTCACCTAACATTGAATTCAGAGTTCAAGTAAAGCCTGGCTTCTGGACCTGGATCTAGTCTGGGTTCACCCGGAGAATCAAGTCTTGAATTTTCCAGAGTACGGCAATCCTGAGTACTGCAATTCACTTATTTTGTCCACCTGATCCTCTTTCAGAGTTCAAGTGCATGGTTGCGATGAGTTTGACGAGGACAGCGAGCTTCGCATCAAAACAACCCCAACCGATGAACTGGATGGAGAACCAGAAAGGATTACGATAAGAATGGGGTGTTGATTTTAATGAATGTACTTTTATAAACGATAACCAGACTATCATTTATCGAATACACAAGATTTATCGATTATTACAAGTTTAAAAATCTCATCCTATCCAGTAACATTACCAGGAGCCTTTCTGATATCTCTTCTTATCCACTAACATTACTGGACAAGAAGTAATATCAGAAAGACTCCCAGTAGTCGTGTGAATCCCAGTGAAAATTTCAATCGATCGTTAGTTGCTGAAAAGAATGTTGTAAAGAGACTCAAGAGGACGATCTAGGCAAAAATTCCGGGTTTAAAGTTGAGAGTTAAAGTTGTCAAAACACGCATTACTTATTGGGCAACCTAATATAATTATGTCGTCCAGCTTTACACTAAAATTTTTGAAAAATCTCATAGACAGAATTTGAGGATTTTTTAGATGGTAAAATACTAATTTTAGAAGATTTTCTACGTTCAGCGCAAATTTTGGCCTGATAGCTTAAATTACAAAAAAGTTTTGATAAAAACAAAAAATATGCTAAAATTATGTCCGCTACTGTATATGAGTGTTATATATCATTCGAAAGCTGAAGATCTCCTCTACATTTTGGAATAAAAAAGTTTTTGAATTCATTCAACTTTTTGGGAAATTGATTGCACAAAGGGAGAGGTCGTTTTCCAAAAAAAACCATTTCAGCTTAGCTATTCCTCAAGTTTTCTGGTGCAAAATAACCGCCCAGAAAAGAAAAGAAAAGTAAAGATGCTCTGAAATTGTTATATTTTTTAAAAAAGTTGTATTGATATATCTATTGGCCAAACATCAAACGGTTAACTCAATTTGAGCGGAGCCAAAACTTGATCCAAAGGCACCCTTCCATTTTTTGGCCACCTCTTCTTCTGCGAAGTCAATTTGCCCAAAAGCTGGACAAATTCAAAAGCTTTTTATATCAAAATGTAGAGGAGATCTTCAGCTTTCGAATAATACTCATATATATCTTTTTCTTGATTTCGGTATCTTGAGAAATTTACAGAATGGTAAAAAACGCGCATTCATAACTGGACAACCCAATATAAAAAAAATCGAAAGCTAGCAATCTAAAAACGATTGATTGAGTTCTTGTCTCAACTTTAAACCCGGAATTTTTGCCTAGATCGTCCTCTTGAGTTTCTTTACAACATTCTTTTCAGCAACTAACGATCGATTGACATTTTCACTGGGATTCACACGACTACTGGGAGTCTTTCTGATATTACTTCTTGTCCAGTAATGTTAGTGGATAAGAAGAGATATCAGAAAGGCTCCTGGTAATGTTACTGGATAGGATGAGATTTTTAAACTTGTAATAATCGATAAATCTTGTGTATTCGATAAATGATAGTCTGGTTATCTTTTATAAAGCTTCGGTAAAAACAAAAAATATGCTAAAATTATGTCCGCTACTGTACATCTGTTCGATATCTTGAGAGATTTACAAAATAGTAAAAACGCGCATTCATAACTGGACAACCCAATAATATCAGTCTATAGCTACTAAAAACTACATTCCATTCAGTTTTATAGCAGCTGTAGTTAGCTTTTTTTTCTTGTATAAACTTTTTTTTGTTTCTTTCCCAAACGTTGTTGGGGGAGTTGTGGCGCTTTAAAATTGATACGATAACGCTAATCCGCTATACGATTCACAACTGATAAAGCTCAACTAAAATCGCTTTTACCACTCAACAACACAAAATTTTGCTCATTTTTGTCAGATTGTGAAAGAAGAGAATGCTACAAATTCTAATTTCCTATTTTTTTCTGTTTTTCATTCACAACTACGAAGCCTATCCTGAGTGCCCGAATGGAGCGGTGAACGATGGAACTCTTTGTTATAAGAGGTTGCCAGACCCGTGGGGTAAGAAACTGGCAGTGAGAAACTGGCAGTGAAAAACTGGCAGTGAAACTTGATTTTGTTTCTAGTTATAGAGCCTTACACTACAAGACAATTTCTTGTTATGAGTTGACTTCTTTCTGTACTTCAGAGTCGAACTACGCTGAAGCGGAACTTGGATGTAACTTAACTTATGGAGGGAATCTGATGCGAATCGGGAATGCCCTAGCAAACTCTATTGCTTGTGACTTGGCCGACAAGAAAAGAGCCTGTTTGTTCATAATCATAAATACAAGTAGTTATGCACTTTATGTAAAGTATTTTACTAAATTCTTTTCATATTTAAAAATTCCAGCTGTCGGTACGGATATCTATGTCGGAGCTCGCCGTATTAACAATGTTTGGTCGTTACCTGATGGATTGCCGCTTCCGTACATAAATTGGTATCCAGGTACAACTTTGACATGACAATTTCTATAATAGAAGTTGTATAACTTTTTCTTTTTAACAAATGAATCCTCAGTTTACAGGTCAACCAGAGAACACTTCTGGATATGATTGTGTAATGTTGGGTCTTTATCACTCTAGCTGGTATGCCACGACGTGCGATCAATATGCAAGAAACATTTGTACCTTTCCAATCAAGAAATAATTTCTTAACATTTTGTATAATTTACGTCTAAAAACGTCTATTAAAAGAAGTCTTCGTAAATAAACATTTATTTTCCAAACTTTTTTCCGTTTTTACCTTGCTTCCGGACAGTTCACCAAGCAAATCATCAAAGCAATCATCAAAGCCGGGATGTTCCGGACAACATATCGTTCTTAGCAGACAATGCTTAGAGTCAAACAAAAAATCAAACACACTTGCTTCGTGACTTGCTCATCTAGAAAATTTAGACCTAAAAGAAATAGTCTAAATCTAAAAGTAAACCAGAAAAATTTTTTCATCAAATTCTTGTATTTAACTATAAATTTTGAAAGTTTTACACAAATTAAACTGAATAGGAAACAAGAGTAGTCAGACTTCATTGCGATTGATACACGTTTGAGTTTTTACAGCAATACACGATACAGCAATCCACTTTCGAGTTTTTCTTCATTGACAAGCAAAAAAAGCTGCTTTTTTTTAATGCTTTGCTTTGTTTTGTTTTGCTCGTTTTGTTTTTGTTTTGTTTTGTTTCTCCATTGCGTCTCAGAAATGTAAATAGACAAAAAACAAAATAAAAGCTCTTTATTTACACAATCTTTTTTTGCGATTAGGGAAAGAAAAAGTGTTGAGACAAGCAAATTCGGAGAGTTATCTTGTCGCTTTCGAAAGCACAGCCTCGAAACTCATCACTGATCAATTGGAATTTTTATGGTTAACTAATGAAATTTTCTTACAACATTCATTTAGATAAATCTTTTCTAATATTCCAGCCATATATCTTTTCTAATTTTCTAGCTAAAAGCTTCTCACAAAACGACCAATCGATTTCTAACATCTACCTCAATCCCAAATGGAAAAAGATTGCCCAAATGGGATCGTTGAAATCGTTGACAAGTCCATTGATGTTCTTGCCGAAGAACTTTACAACAAATTCGTAAACAATAGTCAAAATTATATAGTATTTGAAAAAAATTAGTCAATAATCAAGGTTAATTGCTTTTTGGAAAAGTTTTTAAGAGATGAAAATAGGATTTGAAGCAAGACGGATCTATAGACATCGATCATTTATTAGTCCTTTATTCATTTGTTTATTTTTCCTTTACATAAATGTAGCTATTTGAGTAAAAAACTGATAAATTCCTCATAATTTATCAATCCATCGCCATTCAAATCAGCCTCAAGAATCATGGACTCTAACTCGACATCGTCGATCGCCTCTCCATGAACGGCCATCACTTGACGGAGCTCTTCTTTACCAATATAACCATTTTCATCTTTGTCGAGTATCTGAAAAATCGATTTGGTAATTTGTTTTTCAAGTGATTTATGGAAAAATTTTGTTTTTTGATTTTGTTTTATTCATTTGTTTAATATCTATTGGGTTGTCCAGTTATGAATGCGCGTTTTTTACTATTTTGTAAATTTCTCAAGATACCGAAATCAAGAAAAAGATATATATGAGTATTATTCGAAAGCTGAAGATCTCCTCTACATTTTGATATAAAAAGTTTTTGAATTTGTTCAGCTTTTGGGCAAATTGACTGCACAGAAGAAGAGGTGGCCAAAAAATGGAAGGGCGTCTTTGGATCAAGTTTTGGCTCCGCTCAACTTGAGTTAACCGTTTGGTGTTTGGCCAATAGATCTATCAATACAACTTTTTTAAAAATATAACAATTTCAGAGCATCTTTACTTTTCTTTTCTTTTCTGGGCGGTTATTTTGCACCAGAAAACTTGAGGAATAGCTAAGCTGAAATGGGTTTTTTTTTGAAAACGACCTCTCCTTTGTGCAGTCAATTTCCCAGAAAGTTGAATGAATTCAAAAACTTTTTTTTTGTAGAGGAGACCAAAACAAGACCAAGACCAAACTTTTTTTCCAAAATGTAGAGGAGACCTTCAGCTTTCGAATGATATATAACACTCATATACATCTGTTCGATATCTTGAGGAATTTACAAAATAGTAAAAACACGCATTCATAACTGGACAACCCAATAGATATTAAACAATAGTTTCTTGCAAAACTTTCTTATCTTTTTATAAAGCAGCTCAATGCATTATCGTATAGAAAATCGAACAAAGCACAAGTTGTAGTCATTGTAAAAGCTAGAATAGATAAAATAAAGCTCATTTTATTTCAAAAACTAACTATAAACCGAAACCAGCGAATTTTTAGATGAAACAAACTCGAAAACTCGAAAATTCGAAAACAAACTCGAAAAATCTGTCGAAGATGCGTTCCTTTCTTTGATTCGTTCTCTTTTTGAGCCATAATATGAAGAAATTTCGAGAAATCAATTGTTTTTTCAGGGAATTCCTGAAGCTAGATTGAGATTTGATTCCCTGTAACTCACTTCTTGTTCAACTTTCGTCAAATGATAACCAATAGCTCGCAATATTTGTCCTAAATCATCACCAGAAATCGTTCCATCTCCATTTTTATCATGTTGAGCAAAGACTTCTTTCAACTCGCTCATTTCTTTCATAGTTGCATAAAAGTTGAATAGAAATTGATGTAATATAGAGTTTTTGAGATGTTTTTAGAATGAAGAATAAAGAATTAGAATAAAGAATTAGAATATTTTACAAAGATTATGTTATTTCAGATAAATACTGGATAGATACAGGAAAGATTGGCTAGAGCTTTTTTCAAGTCTAGTATTTTGTGGAGAAGAATGATTTTTTTTTGTTTTAATATTAGAGAGACTCTTTCCAGGCCGCAAATTGAACCATGGGAAGTTAATGAGTCTGTGGATAAAGGGGAATGGTTTTGAGAGGAAGGTGGTGAGAGAAAGGAGAAAGAAAGGAGAAAGAAAGGAGAAAGAAAGGAGAAAGAAAGGAGAAAGAACTCGAAGTGAAAGAGAGTAGTGGAAAGAAGTCGATATAAAGTTCTTGATTAGATCTAGCAGCCAAGCAGCAGCTAGCAGCAGTCAAATACAGCCGTTTTCTAGTTTTTCTTAAACCATTGACAACTTTTAAATGGTAGACTTGTGAAGAAAATGCTTGTGTATGATGTAAATTGAAAAATTCTTTCTTTAAAGAAGCAATCCTTTTCCTTTTCACCGTTGCGTGACAACACATGAGTAATGTAGTCTGAGAAAAGATTGGAAATCTATTTTTGGTCAACAAAAACACGAGGATTCACTTGTTAAGAAAAATCAATGAAAGAATTTCGTTATTATTAAAGTGTTAAGGGGCGAATGCAAACCATATATCGTATTTTCTGTAATATATTAATGTGCACTACTTTTTTCAACCCCCCTCCAGCCTGCACTACTATTACAGACTGCACTACTGTTATAGACTGCACTACTATTATATACTGCACTACTATTACAGACTGCACTAATATTACAGACTCCACTACTATTATAGACTGCACTACTATTACAGAAACTACGATATTCTCATAGGAAATCATGACAAGACGAGCAACACCACCGAAATTTGAAATGATAGAAACCCTGCTGGATAATCAGCAAGAGATTCGGTTGGAATACCTTGCTTTGTGCTTTCAAAAGTGCCTTCAATTAATTGAAGAACAAAAAAAATAGCTAGGTGAGGAAATGAGGATAATAAAATAGAGTAAACAGTGAAATGAATGAGCAAAATGTGCACAAATAGAGACAAATCTCCATCATGTAGCTCAACCAAATAAACGAGCCGACTCCATCCCTGTTCATCCTTGTTTGATCACTGTATCTTCATTCCTGTATTGTTGATGTTGATGTAAATGACAAGTTGGATTTCCATTCGACTCGATAGTTTGCTTTCGTTCATCTACTCTATGAGTGAACATTTTGATTTTGAATCAACCAAGAACTTGCTTTTGTTAGTTTGGTTTTGGTTTTGATTTTAGTTTTGTAGATTTTGAATTTTTGTTGTTGAAAAAGGCGCAAAAACAGACGATTAGCACCACGTTTTTCGTAAGTGAAACCTTTAAAAAACAAACGATTATTTTCCATGGTAACACAGGGCTTTCTAAAGCTTTTATTTAACTTTATTCCTCATTCACTTTGATTTTTTTCACTTCAGGCAACGGATAGCCGAGGGTGAGATAGTCGAAAAAGAAGAAATTCAGGTAACGTCTCATCAATCGGGGATCACCCTCCAATTTTTCCCTTTCACTCACGAGTTCTTTCTTTCCGATAGTCGAATGACAGGTTCGGCCCGAGCTCAGCTTATTACTGATCTGTAAAACCATGATTTAATTTATTTAATTTATATAAATGTTTTGATCGATATTATTGGGTTGGTGAATTGAAAACTGCCGGCTATTGTCATATGTGACAGTTTGAGCACTTTCTTCAAAAGAAACCCATTTTGGAATCAATGGAAAAGTTGTAGAGAATCAAAAATCAAGCTTATATCCTAATTTTCAGAACGATTCAAAAACTGGTTTTCAAGAAATGCGAAATTTACGAATTTTCACAAAACTTGCATTTTAAGCGAAACTACTAAGTGTATCTTTTTGGAAATTTGGCTATAAGTTTAATTTTTGATTCTCTACAACTTTTCTATTGACACCAAAATGGGTTTCTTTTGAAGAAAGTGCTCAAACTGGGATCTCCAGTCTCCATCTCCAGTCCTCCATTTTTGAGTCTCACCCTTGTCTCACACACAAATCAAAATCCTACGAAGAAAGAGGAATCCGCAAATTGCCTGTAAAATGTGCAGAAGTCGTCAATAATAATGGAAATTATTTGGAATGAATTCATGGTTTTATGTTCAATAAATTACTAGTTCAAAGTCCCGCAGTTTTCACATCACCAACCCAATACTATTTTATTTTAGAGATAAAAACAGGGGAATAGCAAGACGACCGCTAATGCAATCAAATACAGTGAACAGTTGGGAAAGGTAAATAAATCCCTGAAGAAGAATAGGCCCTTCAAGTCAAAGATCGTTCTCCTCCACGGCAACGCGCGCCCTCATGTTGCAAAACTGACTCGCTCTAAAATAATCAGCCTTGATTGGGAACTTTTGGCGCATCCCGCATACAGTCTCACCTCGCCTCTTCTGATTACTGTTTATTCCGGATCATGAGTAATGAGCTTGCGGGAGAACACTTCGATTCGGAAGAAGCAGTCAAAAATTGGGTTTGAAAGTTTTTCGATTCAAAACCAAAATTCTACTAAGAAAGAGGAATCCGCAAATTGTCTGTAAAATGGGCAGAAGTCGTCAATAATAATGGAATTATAATAATGGAATATTTGGAATGAATTCATGGTTTTATGTTCAATAAATTTTAGTTCAAAGTCCCGCAGTTTTCACATCGCCAACCCAATAGTAAACTCACGAATCGAATGCTCTCTCTGTTAACCCCAACGTCATCAAAAAGTTGCTCGAGATCCCGAATGAGAACCGCTGAATCGCTGCTGTTGTAGTTGATGAGCACATAGTCGTCGATCATTGTCCCGAACTCACATCGCCTATGAACAAATGGGAAACTTGTAAAAATATGTAAAGCCAAGATCAACGGCTGACTGATGAATTGGTTTGGCAGAAAAAGCCATTTGATTTAACAGAAAAAGCCATTCACATTTGAATTGGCAACTCACCAATTCTGAGGTAAAAAGTGAGCATTCACATGCGATCTCGGCTGTCCAGACACCCCGAAAAGTCCCCTCAAGCGATAGTCCTCGGAATTTTGCTCCAACATTTCGAAGATGCACGTCAAATTCTGACATCCACCGCACTTGTTAACGGTTCTAAGCGAGTATTTTCATTTGATTTCAAAATCCAAACGCTCACAGACACTGATTCGTGTAAGCTGACATGAATTTCTCCATCGGCTCGCGGATGAGCGCAAATTTCGTGATGTCCTCCATTTTGCGCCCCAATTTCCATGCGACCTGGGGCCAGGTGTCGAGTTCGTTGTACCCCAGACATGCTCTGAATACAAAAAAAGCAATGTAAATAGAGGATTTTGAAATAATTTACTTGTGGAAGGCTGTCCATATTCGAATATCTTTTTTCTCCCGACTAGACATGCCGATCCGATGGATTTTCTGGGATCGAATCGCATCAGAAAGATCGGATCGAACGGATCAGAAAGATCGGATCGGTCAGATCAGAAAGATTGGATCGGTCAGATCAGAAAGATTGGATCGGTCAGATCAGAAAGATTGGATCGGTCAGATCAGAAAGATTGGATCGGTCGGTTCAGAAAGATTGGATCGGATCAGAAAGATCGGATCGGATCAGAAAGATTGAATCGGATCAACCCGATAAAATTTCTCTTCGAATCGGATCGGATTGGTGCTTTTTTAGATAAAACACTTAGTTTTCTGAAAGTGGCTTATTGTAAAGGCCATAAACGGCACCAAACATAAATTCAGGTGTTTAAACTGGAAAAATTCTATAAATCCGATGATAATCTGGTCCAAAATCGAATAGAAAATTTTATCAGATCGGATCGTCAATCATTAGAAAGTGCTTCGGTCGGATCGGTCGGATTGGGTCGTTCAAAAAGCCTCACTCGAGATCGTTTTTTGTTTACCACCGCGAGTTTCGGAGTGTAACCTAGCCTATTTTGTAGGAAATTTTTCGCTGATTCCGAATATCTAGGTCTAGGTAATGTCAAAAAAAGAATTTTTTTGAAATAAAAAATCGACAGCGGGGACCACAGGGATTTTTTAGGAAAATTTCTCTGGAGGCTCCGGGTAAGAAAATGTTTTCACTCTAAAACGTGTTCTACATACATTTTAAGCCAAGGGCTATCGTTTAAAGCATTTTTCAAGAAAAAATAATTGATTTTGATTCATTTGTGAGACCCTTACCTACTTTTTTGCCCGACCGACCGATTTTGAGGGGTTGAAAGATAGAAATGCCAGTCGTTCTATAAGAGTTTTTACGGTAAATTAGTGTTTACTGTGCTATGCTATGCGGTTTCCAATATGGCTATGCGGTTTCCAAGATTCCACATTTATGACTTTAACAATAATTCTTTTACAAAAAGCAAAAGTCTGACCCAACACCGAACTCGAACCGGGGGCAAAAAGGCTGAGCGCCAAGCGCATTAACCACTTGTTTAGGAGACGACAGATGTTTAGGAGACGCAAGATCGCTTGATATTCGTGTGGTAAGGTAATTAGCGCAACAGTCAAAAACTGCTTTTACACACAAACTATACACACAAACTTCAAACGGATTTAAATCGAGAATTTGAACCCATAACACACAAAAGATCTAGATATTTGAAAGCAGATATTGGATCTAGATATTTGAAATCAAAATTTACTACAAAATAGGCTAGGTTCAACTTTGAAACTCGGTGATAAATAAAGAACGATCCCTAGTCCCTAGTCAGGATCATCTCAATCAATCCGATCCAATTCGCATACAGTTTCTGCCAATGAAAGCCCCACCCTCGACCCACCTCCTCGTGTCCCATTGCTCATAAAAAGACCATTTCGAGTTGAGAATGCGCTGTGGTTCGTGCAAATAGCACATGATGGCCATCAGAATGGTCGACATGTTCTTGAATATCGAGCACGCAGTTAGACCATATTTCTTGGCGATCTGCATTCTGTTTTATCATGTTGCTGTTGTTGTTAGCAAATAGAGCGTTTGATATAGATAAATGATAATTTCTTGAGCAAAAAACTAATTGTGCAATGCCTTTTTGCACGTCTCAAATGTCTCACCTTATATTGCGATGGTAAATAAACGAATGGTGGCTGTAGGTGACAAGTCTTTTCATTTGAACAGAGAACATCGAATATTTCAATGGCATTCTTCAATTCTCTCTCTTCAAGCCTCGAGATTGCCGATCGAATTGTGGCCCTTTGAGCAGCATTTGTATGGAAGGATTGTTCGATTTTCTTCTGAAAACTTTTGAAAAAAACTTTAGGGGAAGAAAGTTTCCTGATTTCTTTTCTTCTGTTCTTCTTTCTTTTCTTTCTTTTCTTCTCAACCTAATACTTGGCTATATTTAGATGCTTTTTTGGTTTATATTGTTTGAAATTATTTGAGTCACCTGTAGACTTTGAGTAGGTTTTTCCATTTTTACACCGAGTTTTTCTTGACTTGACAATTCCTTCTTGGCGTTGTGCTAAAAAGGGAGGTTTTTGGATAAAAATGAAATGAAATTGACCAAATAATTGAGATTGTTCGAATGATTCGTGGTCTCCAGGTAGTAGGTGGTGAAAAAGTGAAAGCTGAGGCCGAGGAGAAAACCGAAGAGCATCGAGAATAGATTGGGGCGTTTCATCCGCATCTTAGCTCAGTGTTTGGCTTAATTAAGAAAAAGAAATGGCAATTCTAGCATTTCGAATTTCCTGATTTACTGATTTCTGACGGCAAAAAGGCAGAAAGTTATTGTTCTGAGGTAGGGGTTCTGAGTTCTGAGGTATACCCCTACCTCAGAGGTATACCCCTATCTTAGAGGTATACCCCTATCTTAGAGGTATACTCCTACCTTAGAGGTATACCCCTACCTCCGAATTTGTATTTAAGCGCCTTAAAAATAACTGTTATTGAAAGTGAATGACTAGTTAGACCTAATTATGATCTAATTAAGTGAGCCAGAGAGCATTTAAAGAGCTCAAAGAGCCTAAAGAGCTCAAAGAGCCTAAAGAGCTCAAAGAGCCTAAAGAGCCCAAAGAGCTTTTTAAAGAGCTCAAAGACAAGGAAATGATAAAAGCTAGTAGACATCAATGTCTACCGTAGTCCGATCGGTTGATCTTTCGATTCGGCGATCGGCAAATGAAAAGATCAGCAGCCATCTATGCACCCTCACCCTTCTAACTAAGGACTTTTCGTTGTTTACCTACCAAATATGGGTTTTTCCATTCACATAGCCATCCGGGGATGCAATCGGGTAAATATCGTGTGTAAACAATGAAAAGCCAGCCAGACACAGAGCTTTTCACTTTTACCGTATCCCACGGATCGCTGATCCCCTCCCTATTCGGTCATTTCGATTGCTTTCTGAATAGGGGAATAGTGGCATCACTGTTCGCTTCCACATTGCACTCAGAGACAGAAGTGTAATGTGGGAGACACAAGACAGAGCACAGAATTCAGTAAAAGCTCGATGTGTGCACAGACGTTTCCTGAGGTTGGAATCCGGTAAACAAGCGAAACAAAAACAATAAAAGAATAAAACCGTCTACACGCGCGGGGGATTCCCTGGGGGTGAAATATTGAGTAAATATCTGTCTGGTGAGGCGATGTTTGACTGATCAGTGATCCCATTTTTTAAACGATCAGAAATCAACCGAATCGGTCAGAAATGTTTCGGTGAAAGATCTTGGCTCTTTGATATGAAGACAGATTGACAGACACTATGGGCTATGCTCGGTCTGGAACTGCGAGTGACTTTCATATCTTATAGGCTCTCGAAATTATTCAGAGATAGTTCATTTATAATTGTTAATGTACAATAAATGTTAATGTACAATAAATGTTAATGTACAATGTACAAATGTTATTCAGTTAAAAATTCGTCTTTGTTCTTGTCTGCCTTAAAATCAGAACTTTATTTTGTTGCGACAATTTTGGCGCACTTTGTAGTATTTATATATTATATTTATTTATACCCAAAGGGGATACTCAATAAAGCAGATGAGTAATGACTTAAGACCAAAAAACACGGCATTCATCTGTATGACGTGTTGAAACAATCACTTGATCTTGATGTCCATGACTTCTCTTATCTCTGAGTCAAGCATTGAAAGCGGCTCTCTTCAAAAGAATCTCTTTAGTTTGATCAAAATTTGAAAAGAAGTTTGCTGTTTTTGCTGTTTGCTTTAAGTGCGCTGACTAGGTGGGGGAATTTTTGTAGAAATTGATAAGACGGTGCGAATCGTTTTTGAGCCGCCGCTTGCAGGCTATTCATAAGATTTTATCTCGCTGACTCAACAAATTTCACGAAGTTGCACAACGGCTGAAGATTTACATATAAAATTGGCTTTAATACTGTATACTGTAAAAGTTTACTTCATTTCACAATGCCTAGTTTCTCAATTTTCTTTTTTATTGCATTTGGCGTATGGCAAGTTGTTGCCGACAATTGCATCGATGAGGTTTGGGTTTATTTGTTAATCAATCAAAAGAAATTAAACGAAATTTGAATTGCTCAATAAAAACAAAGAGGAAAATTGGTATTTATTGTTGTATCTGGCTCAAATTTGGAATTCAATTTGATAAAGAGGCTTTAACTGGTCATCGAACTCTTTAGCTTTAACTAGTCAGATCAAAATCTTTGACTCTAACTGGTCATCAAAATCTTTAGCTTTAACTGATCAGATCGAAATCTTTAGCTTTAACTGGTCAGATCAAAATCTTTAGTTTTAACTGATCAGATCAAAATCTTTAGCTTTAACTAGTCAGATCAAAATCTTTAGCTTTAACTAATGTCGGCTAACCAATCATATATTTGATCAACATGTTACTTAAATCTACTTTATAGAAGAAAACTAACAAAAGCAAGTGCTTGGTTGAAATTATCGCCATGTTTACTTGCAATACACATTTTTAGTTATGTGACTTGAAAGGCGCGATTCCTTTCTCATCTCCCGGCTATCCAGGGCCTTACAATGCCAGCGATGCCTCTCTGTTTGTCAAAATAATCAATTCAATCTACAAAAATGACTTTAGAAAATTGCTACAAGTTAGCATGGACATCGACTCAAATTACGTGATGGGAGTTCGATTTTTTCGACTCGATTTAGCTCCAAATGATTGCATTCATCTCTGTGAATATGATGACTTTCAAACGTGCAGGTCGGTTGGTTCAAAAGATAATGGGATTTTTGAGGAATCGAAGTTTAATATAGTGAATATAGTGAATATAGTGATTAATAAAATACATATTTCACACAAAGCTTTCAGCAAAACCGGCAAGTTCGACTTTTTGTGCTCGAGCATGGATGACGGGAGATTCACTTACTATTATACAAGATCAAGTAAAAGTTGTCTATTTGTTCTTAGCTAACTAGGAAATTGTTGTCAAGTTAAGGTGGGCTTTTTGAAGGCCAAGTCAGTCTAGGCCAAGCCTATCTGATAGAGTTTTTTATGCTGATTCCGAATCCGGTTTTCAATTTCCCGGAAGGGCTCTGGAACGCGAGATATTTGCGTCTGTGTACATTCATTAAAACAACAATGAGACAAATAATCTCTGGTATCATTGGCTGAGCCCTTCCCCCATCGAATGGGCTGATCGAAAGGAAAAAGCGTACAAAATTTGGCCCTAATTTTGGTAGGTTTATAAGGTTGGCACGTGTTCCCTCAAATGTGAGCTGGTGGCGTAGTCTGCTGGCACGTCTGTTGTCTGCTGGCATGTCTTCTGTTGATTGCTGGTTCGGATCCGCTTAACTGCCAAAGTTCTTTTCCTCTTTTTTTGCGAAACATTTCTAAACACTTTTCATGATATTGCAAGAGCAAATAACTTTCTTTCATAAATTTGAAAAGGCACAACTTGTTTACTTTATGGAAATTTTGAAAGATTCAAAGAGCAGAAATAGATTCAAATATTAGGTTGATGCATAAGTCTTTTCGTTCCTTTTCGTCTGCCGTTTCAAGCCAACAAATGCACGAATTAAACTACGGTTGATTTCATTAGAAAAAGCAATTATTTTTCTGCAAAATAACATTAAAACGGGTTTAAAAATATTGAATGCCTGGATTTTCTTGAGAGTATGAAGTCGGGTAGTCAAAAAGGGCTAACTCGATGATGCGGTTTAGACACCTTAGCTAAAGAAAACCTATCTTCGTGTCAATAGATAAAAGATAGAGAAAAAAAACGTTTGATATTTCGCCAAAATTTCAGAGAAATTCATTGAGCCAATTTTTCCGTAGAGTTTTTTATAGATTTTTACGAAAAAGGCGTTTTTCACTCTCGAATTTGCTTCAAAGTCAACCGAAATTCATTTAAAAAGATGCAAATTGAACAAAAAAACACTTTTTTTATAGAGCAAACTATAGATTAATTGGTGAATTTGTTACTTTTTAACAGAAGTACGAAAAAAATGAAAAAGACTTTTGCATCAACCTAATAATATAAATCATAGAATTTAAAGTAACAAATAAAAGAAAAACTCTCAAAACACCGATGGACGCCGAATAAAAGCGCGATTGCTACATGAAACTTCACTAAAATCATTTGAAACAATTCCCACTGCAAAGCAATATGTTAATGGCATTAAAAGTCAACTTAAAAGCGTTAAAAACCAACTTTATAAACCTACCGAAATTGGGCCCAAATTTGCTAAATTGTACGCCAAATATCTCGCGTTACAGAGCTCTTCCGGAAAAGTTAAAACCGGATTTGGAATCAGCGTAAAAAACTCTATCAGCAAGGCTTGGCCTAGACTGACTTGGCCTTCGAAAAGCCCAACCTGACTTGAGACTCAACTGACACTCAACCCTAGCAACCTTCTTTTCTAAATTCTTCTTTCTAGACGAATTGTACATGTTCTTGGCTCGCTATCAAAACTCGAAACCCAGTGACAACGGCACCTTTCCGGGTGTTTTTGGAGAAGTCGTACGATTGGGTTAGTGTACCTTATAATCCAAGGTTTTTTTAGGAGAATTTATACATTGCGTTCCAAAACTTTAGCCCCAACCCATTTTTTTTTATTCAAAACCATGCTAAAAAAGACCGCTCACACCATTGCACAGCCGCCACCATAGTTTCTATGGTGCAAAGAGATCTCGCTCAAACACTCGGCGCTCGCCGAACAGCCCAGACCTTAACACCATTGAGAACGTTTGAAGCAATATGGCAGATCTATAAAAATTCCGGCCAATTCACATTGGTTTACGATCTAAAGTTGCATTTTCACGAGCCTGGCTTGGTATTCCTACGGACTTGAAGTAGTGACTCGAAAGACGGAGAGGGATCGAGACAAGCAGTGACTTGACTCGATCCCTCGTCGTCTTTTGATTGTGAAAATGAAGCACGGAGATCAAACTGATTTTTAATTGTTAAGCTTTTTAATTATATACTCATTATTTCAATACAAATTGCTAAAATGTTTGACGAAAAGTAGAAAAAAAAGTTTTGCAACGATGCTTTCTTCGAAAAATACATTTTCATAAAAAACTAAAATGTTATTTTGGTGTTAGTTGTGTTTTTAGATGATTTTGAATCGGTTTTGCATGATTTCAAACAAAATAGCTTAATTAATGAGCTAGAATCGTCGATTTTAAATCAAAAAATGCGGTGGAGGTGGAGCTAAAGTTTTGCAAAGCAATGGTACAATGGTACTTTTTAAAATCAATTTATTTATTATCAGATGCGAAATCATTGCTTTGGAATGATGCATGCGAAGAGTCGGCGAGCTTGAACGACAGCTCGTACGCTTTAATTTCTGATCGTAAGTGATCTCAACTTCAACTTTTTATCCTTATTCACCAATTGCAGTCGACTCTCGATACAACGATTTTGAAATCCTAAAGCACGCCCTTGGTTTCTGCGTAGCCAAACGTAGCCAAGCGTAGCCAAGCGTAGCCAAGCGTAGCCAAGCGTAGCCAAGCGTAGCCAAACGTGGCCAAACGTAGCCAAGCGTAGCCAAACGTAGCCAAACGCCATCGTTGACCACAGCCAAACGCAATCGTTGGCCATTCAGGGCTATGCAAGAAATTTGGCGCACTTTTTAGAATCGTTAAATCATTAAATCGTTAGATCATTAAATCGTTAGATCATTAAATCGTTAAATCATTAAATCGTTATATCGAGAGTCGATTGTAGCTTATTTCTAGATTTCAATGTTGATACTTTTACCTACACCAATGCATCATTTGACGTGAACTGCCAAACGAAATTCTCCACAAAACACTCAATGATTCGAGTCGTCGTCTACACGTTTCGTTCATTTCTCAACGAGCCGATCGAGCTGACTGGAATCGAAGCAAATTCCACCTCTCCGATCACAATCTCTATCAAGTAGAAGCTCTTTCTTTTATAAAACTCTCCTCTTCTAGTGGATCAGCAGTGCGTCGACATGGCCTGCCTCGGACGTATTATTTCAAAAAAGACCTCACTTTGACTTACAAATTCACCGCCCGAAGCTACTACTATTACATTGTGTTGACCGGATATGATGGTAAAGGGTTTGATCTGAAAAATGTCTTCAAAAAATAGCTATAAGAGTGAAACCGGTGCTCAGTTGAATAGACAGAACAGAACAACCAGTTCAGATGCCGCAATCTACGACAGTTGCCTCAACAATGGTGTCATCGACATGAGCAAACAATCATCAATTCCCTTCTCAGCCATTCCCCTTTCAATGCAAGCCTATAATCCGAACTCAAACTGTCACTGGAATTTCACGAATCTTCCTCCTAATCACCAATGGCAATTGTATGTGGAAGCTTTCAAAACGGAAACTTGTTGTGACGTGCTGGGAATCGATTCCCCACTTGATCCAACCTTTGTAAGCTCTATTCTCAAGCGCTATAGCTTGAGCACACAAAAAAACTTTAGCAACGGCAACAGTTGAGCGGTGACTACACATATTATTTGTATTCTGGGGCGAAAGACTTTCAAATGAGTTTTCAAAGTGACGGCATCGAATCCTACAATCGGATGAGTGGCGTTGTCGGGATTATCAGTGAGTTATAGGCATATATTATAGGCATACAGTGGAACCTCTCTATAACGTAACTCACAGGACGGCTATAGCTTACGTTATATAGAGGTTTACGTTATATAGAGTGCCGTTTTATATAGCTTAACGTCGGCCGGGACCGGTCACGCCTTACGTTATAGAGAGGTTTACGTTATATCGAGGTTCGTTATAGAGAGGTTCGACTGTATATTTATGGGTGCCTATATTGCCTTATAATCCTTAACACGTTGACGACAATGGCATTTTTGCACAAACAATCGCATGGGACAACGTTGTTTTAAAATTTTAATAATCAACGGTTAAATCGACATTTTCCGGCACCAAGTCGAATATAGATACTACCCTACTTGCTTATTTAATATTCATCATCAGCAAACATAAATATGCGCAAAAAAAAAAATCAATTTTGGTACTGTCACCTGACATCAGGTGACAATGTCCCAGGCGAACGAATATGTGTCAGACAGCATCAGGTGACAATGTCGTCAACGTGTTAAAGGTTCAAAACTCAGGGTATTCGATCTACTAAGCTGAATATCTATAGTTATTGCTTCTATTAAAGGCTGAGCTTCTGTTAGAATAAATGCATATCAATAAGTACATATCAATTTCAGATTGCACATGCCCTCCAGCTTCGTTAAAGCTAGCAAACGGTGATTGGACGAATATCACTTACGGTTATGGTGGCGAGTTCTCCTATTGTCTTATGACAACTTGCAGCAGTACTTTGTAGGCTTTTAAAGTTAAATTTTAAGACTAGAATCTCTTTGTAAGTTGAAAAACCGAAAAATTCGTTACAGAACGTTTGATCGAGGCTCGCTTGTTCGATACAAGTTCACTTACATGACCGTTGGTTGGAACAGCCTCTCGTTGACAGATGCCTCCTCCAAAGCATTGTGAGACCTCCTTCAAAGCATTTGAATTGATTTTTATGTTCGCTTCTTTTAGAAATTTGTCTTCAAATCAAGGAATGATTGAAGGTGTCAACGGGAATGATTTCCTCAAAATAAACTACAATGATACTTCAACAATCAGCTATGAGACGATGGGTCTTAGTCGATATGGATTCGCTCTATCAGCTCAAATCTTGAACTGTGGGATGATTAATAATAAATCTTGTAATAGTTGTTTTTAGACTCTTTACTAGCAACAATCAATGTGAACCTTTGCAAGGATACGTTCTTCGACGCCCACTCGATGATGTTGAGCGACAAGTTCACAGCTGTTGTTTATCGATTTTCGAATGCTGATTGCTCATCGTAAGCTAAACGATTAGGTTTTCGGGGTTTGAATGCTAATTTCTATTCAGGGAAAAGAATTCCGGGAAAAGGACAGGGAGGTGCTGGTAGATAAGCTGAGTGCTTATGCTTACAAATTGCTTTCATTTATCTGATTCAAATGCAAGCCCAGAAGTTCATCATTCGAGCTGCTTTATGACTTTATGACTTTAAAAAAGGCCGGATCTCTGCAAGGGATACGCACATTACAATAAAGAAGGCTTTTGGCGAAATAGTAATTAGCGAAAGTGAGTGCTATCGATGGTTTGAGCGATTTTGAAATGGCAACGAGGACCTTCACAATGAGCCCCATCCTGGCCACCCTTAAAAGGTTTAAAATAATGATGTGCTAAAGGTTATCGAAGACGATCCCACTTTAACAACTCGAGAACTAGCAGAGATATTCAATCTTCATCATTCAACAATTGCCGACCATTTGCACCCACTTGGCGAAATTCGGTGCGGGAATGGGTTTCACGCAAATTGACGCAAGACAACAAAACTATACGTGTTAATTTCAGCTTTATATTGCGTCGAAAGTCTAAATCTGGAGATTTTTGAAACTCTATTCTAACTTCTGATGAAGCTTGGATCTATTATGATGATATGACAAGAAAGAAACAGTGGCTATCTCCAAGGCAAGCTCCACAAACCACTCCTAAACCCGATATTCATGGAAAGAAGATCATGCTTAGTTCCCGGTGGAATTCTAAAGGCTTAGTGTATTATGAGTTGGTGAATCCTAAACATAACATTATTGCCGATCTTCATTCAAAACAAATGATGAGAGTTAGCGATTCTCTGAAGAAATTGAGCGTAAATCTGTTTTCAAAAGTCCGTTTTTTGCACGACAACGACAACAAAACAACTCGTGTAAACGTCAGTTCTTTTTTGATCCATAAATGCAAACCTGGTGGCTTTTGGGATTCGATTTTGGCGTCTGATGAAACTTGAATTAATTACGAATGTCAAAAAAGGAATCAATGGTTATCTACCGGACAGCCGCCCTTCCCTCAAACCACTCCCAAATCCGATATTCATAAAAATAATGCTCTGTTTCTGGTGAAACTCGAAAGGGTTGGGGCACTATGAGTTAGCTAATCCAAGAGAAATAATTGATGTTGATTTCTACTCAAAAAACAGTTGACTAGTAAAACAGTAAACGATGCTTTAAAGAAATTGGGACTAAATCCATTAAAGATTCGATTTTTGCACGACAACGCAAAACTGCAGACGGAAAAAGTCACTCAGAAAGAAATTGACGAGCTTGGCTTGGTTTGGCTGGAGCTTGGCTTGGTTTGGCTGGAGCTTGGCTTGGTTTGGCCGGAGCTTGGCTTGGTTTGGCTGGAGCTTGGCTTGGTTTGGCTGGAGCTTGGCTTGGCTTGGCTTGGCTTCTCACACACGCTTTATTCACTCGGCTTAGCTCCCTCAGATTACCATTTGTTTCGGTCGTTAAAACAATTCCTTGAGGGGAAATATTTCGACGATCACGCTCAAGTCACAAAAGCGCTTAATTTCTACTTTGCCCACCAGGAGGCTCAGTTTTTGAGAATGGGATCAGGGATTTGCGCCGAAGATGGAGAGAATCGACGAAAATGGCGAATACCTTACCGATTAGCCTCTATTAGCTGACATCTTCTATTCCTATTTCTTTAATAAACTATTTTGTTGAAAAATTCGCATTCAGAATCCGAAAATCTAATAAAGTTTTACTAAATAAGAATATTGTTTACTCAAGCTTTAAATTTAGAAACAAAATCTTGGGCTATTTCTTTGCTCGAATAGCTAAAGAACCGTTGGTCACTGTCTATGAGGGAGAGCTCGACACGGGCACTTATGTACCCATCAACAATCAGTTAGTTTGTTCTAAAATCAAAACTTTTCATTAAATCTGTTCAATTTTCAAACAAAACTCCTTTTAGAGAGTATCAGTGGGACACTCTGGCCTTCAAGTCAAACGTGGTGACGGTGCGAATTGTGAGAACTGATGCAGCCTATTCGCCGGTTAATATGCTCTTCACAACTGGTAGCTTGCGTTTGTCATAGTCATTAAATAGAAATTATTGTGAAAAATATAAAACAAGCTGATTCAGTAATAGCCCTTCTTTCAGACAGCAACCTTTGGGTGTACCAGGGCTACTACCGATGCTTTATGGGCGCCAATATCAACATTGATTATGGAAATCATCCGGCTGGCACGACAATCGTCGCCTACAGAGGAGCCGTCGAGCCACAAGATTACCCAAAACTCTTTGGCAGTGCATTGCTTGCGTTGACGCTGTTGAACGACACATTGCCTCACATTGAGCTCTTCCAAGGCGCCTCTTTAAAAGCCGAGGATCGTATTTATGGGTGGGTTATCGGCACGAGTTTGGTTGATAAACAAGTAACATTGATGGTTGATAAACATGACTTTAAATCAAATATCTAATAATTAAATCCATTATTTGCTATAACTTTTATCTACCGTTTTACCTCTAATATTAGCGCCCCGCCTCGCCCCGTATAGTCGCGTAGTCGCAAAAAATTTAAATAATATTTTTCTAAGCACCCATAATTTCTAAAACTACATGTTTGGTATCAAAAAATAGCCCGGAATTTCAGCTTTTATTTGACTTATAAGCGAACACTGCAGCATAAACGGTTGGCGAGAAAAACGCGTTTAAAGTTAGACTACGCGACGCTCCGACCGTCATTAAAGGGCGGAGGGTGCGCTGCTATTAGGGGTATTACGGTGTAAATGTTTCTTTTAACTCCAGCGGTCCTTCCACTTGTGACAACAATCAGACAGCAAACGTTGCGTTTCCTCAACGCGTTTTTGGCACCTATATGACAATCAAAGTCGGATCTGGAGTGCCTCGAGATGCCGTGTTGAGATACTACTGTAATTCGGCATGTAAGTTTACAATTATTTTCTCAAGAACTTTTTTATCTAGATCAGCTTTATTTCGATGTTGCAAATGACCTGCCGGCTGTTGTCAATGTGCCAAAGTATGACAACGGCGGTGTGAAAACGATTTCGTGGGGATTCTCAAATGTAATTTAATTTCAACTAACAAGGGAAGCTGAACTGGCTGAGCTGGTCAAATGCTATGCGATCTAGACGCAGAATTTTATGCTGATTCCGAATGTGTATTCCGTTTTGGCTAAATGACAATCTGCCAGGAGTTATAAGCGTCTAAAGTTTTGCTAGGACTCTGAAAATGTGGTCATAGTGGTCTTAATGGGCTTAATGGATCTTAGCGGCCTCCTTGCAAACCCAATTCGGTGCAGCGGTGGCAGAATGGTACAGCGTCCGTTTCCAGGGCGAGTCCTCACAAGTTCGCTCTTCACTTTGGATTTTTCTTTGGCTTTTTTCAAGAAGTGCCGGCAAGAAGTGAGGCACTAATAATAATGTTTTTTCTATCGCATTCCATCTGTCGCATCGCTTTCCATATATGTTTTTCCAAAGAAAAGGCACTTCTCCCCATAAAATCTCGTTGTCGATCGCAGGAGTGGCACATATGATGCAGAAGAAACATATTCTACATTCACAAGGTTTCTCTTGAAAGTACATTCAAGAGATAGCTTATGACGGAAGTGCACCTATAAAGGATACACTCCTCCTCGACTCATGGACGAGCTTTCGAGATCACGGCTTTATTCAACAGGGAGTAGCTCAGGAGTGTCACATAGGATGCAGAAGTTTTGCTTTGCAGAAGTTTTGCTAGGACATTTTCAGAGTCCTAGCAAAACTTTACACGCCGCTTATAACTTCTGACAGATTGTCATTTGGGAAAAACGGAATACATATTCGGAATCAGCATAAAATTCTGCGTCGAATGGTATAGATCACATAGCTCAGCCAGTTCGATCGACTCAGCCAGTTCACCTCTTGCAAGTAGAAGTTTAAAAATGACTGAACATCATAAAATTTAGCGTCGATCGATCCCCTCCGATCAACGACTCCAGATTAGCCTCTTGAATAAGCTGCCGGCAAAGAGCCAATTGACGATCAACTACACAAGAAGTGGAGGATCAGATGTGTTGGTGTCTTTCTCTAACGCCCATTTTTGTCCGTTTTCAGCTATTCATCACCTATTTGTCACATTTTTTACGATCCAAATTATTGGGCGTCAAACAATGACATGATTTTGACATATCAATGGTCGTGCGAATCGCTGATCGACGACAATGAGAGCTGTGGATCGCCGTTGGCTCTTGAGTGAGTTTTGAAGTTACAAAGAATAGATATTCGGTTGAGAAAAAAAAATAATACCCGTTTTTTGGGTGTAACAATTTATTGCATTCTACAAGAAATAGCAACCATCATTCAGTAAGGTATTCTCCATTTTATCGATGACTTCTTTCTATCTTCACTTCCTTTCATATCGATCACTTTTATCGATGATTCAAGTCCAAGATTTGTGTCCATTTGTGAAAAATTGGGGATTTTTGAAGCCAAAATAGTTGTCGACCGCTTTTTTTGACTTGAGCACGATCATCAAACTTTTCTCCCATAATAAACTGTTTCAGGGGCCAAAACAAAAAGTAATCCTGGCTGCGAATCCTGACCGTTAACAAACCGAATCCTGACTGCGAATCCCGACCGCAAATCCTGCCCGCAAATCCCAGCTGCGAATCCTGACTGTTAACAAACCTAATCCTGACATCGAATCCGGCTAAGTTAGGAGAGTAAGGCGCATGTGGAAGCAACTTCCAGCAAAGCTCCTCGATTTTCTTGTGAGTGACTTTTGCCGTGTGCGGTTTGGCGTTGTCGTGAAAAAATCGAATCTTTGATGGATTTAGTCCCAATTTCTTTAAAGCATCGTTAGCTCTAGTCAATTGTTTGGAATAGAAATCAGCATCAATGTTTTCTCCTGGATTAGCTAACTCAGAGTGCCCCAACTCTTTCGAGTTCCACCAGAAACAGAGCATTATTTTTATGAATATCAGGTTTGGGGGTGGTTTGAGGGAAAGGAGTTTGTCCGGTAGATAACCATTGGTTCTTTTTTTGACATTCGTAATTAATCCAAGTTTCATCAGATGTCAAAATCGAATCCCAAAAACCACCAGCTTTGCATTTATGAATCAAAAAAGAACTGACGTTTACACGAGCTGTTTTGTTGTCGTTGTCGTGCAAAAAACGGACTTTTGACGGGTCGACGCCCAATTTCTTCAGAGAATCGTTAACTCTCATCAACTGTTTTGAATAAAGATCGACACCAATGTTATCTTTAGGATTCACCAACTCATAATACACTAAGCCTTTAGAATTCCACCAGCAACTAAGCATGATCTTCTTTCCATGAATATCGGGTTTAGGAGTGGCTTGTAAAGCTTGCCCTGGAGATAGCCACTGTTTCTTTCGTGTCATATCATCATAATAGATCCAAGCTTCATCAGAAGTTAGAATAGAGTTTTAAAAATCTCCAGATTTAGACTTTCGACGCAATATAAAGCTAAAATTAACATGTGTAGTTTTGTTGTCTTGAGTCAATTTGTGTGGAACGCACTCTCCGCACCGAATGCTTTCGCCAAGTTGGTGCAAATGGTCGGCAATTGTTGAATGATGAACATCAAATATCTCTGCTAGTTCTTGAGTTGTTAAAGTGGGATCTTCTTCGATAACCTTTGAAAATATCATTATTTGAAACCTTTTAAGGGTGGCCAGGATGGGGCTCATTGTGAAGGAAGTCTTGAGTCAGTTCGTGCGGGACTCATTTTCCGCAGCGAATTTTTTCCCGAGTTGGTGCAAATGGTTGTCGAATGTCCTCTGATCAGCATCAAACATTTCTCGCTAGTCGTGAGCATTGGGTTCAAGACAATTTCAATTCCTCAATCCTCATCAAAACGCGCATTATTTTTTCCTCAACCTAATACAATTTAAACTTCTTCTACAAATGAGCATAATTTTAAAAGCACTTTAAATGAAACTCCGACAACTTCTAGACCGTTTTCAGGTTCAAACTGTCGCCTGCTCCAACAACAACGACAACAACCACCACAACAACCACCACACAATCAACAGTATCTACAAGCTCAACCACAACAATTCCAACAACAACAACTATGACAACAGAAGAAACTGTGAAAACCTCAACAACCATGATAATGACATCAACAACAACCACTATTAGACAAACCACGACCACCAAATCAAGTAAAAGACGGGCGTTGTTAACGAGCTTGCTTTTGTTTATTCTTGGACATTCTTTTTTTTAATTATTTTGGCGCTTGAAGTAATTAGTTCTACTGAACTAATCTGTCATATTCGCCTTGACCTTGTTGTACTTATTGTTACCTCTCAGTTGTTTACAATGTTCTGTATTTAAAAGCTTTTTCCCCACAACATCTCAAAGAAATAGCATCGATCATCAAACTTCAAGTACAGAAAAAATCATCGATTTGTTGCCGAATTTAGCTCGTTGAACGAGGCCAACACTGGAGTTCTCGTAGTCGTAAACAGAGTAGAAATCGCGGAAGAAGGCATCGCCGAGAATCCATTTCGGATTATTTCGGACAAATTTACATCCAAAAGTAGTTCCAAAGGAAGAAAACGTGAAACGACTACGGAAAAGTACAAATTCCACTTCATTCTTTTCTTGCCTGAATATCTTTCCTCCGCAAATATGGGAATTGAAGGGCACCCTCCCCATACAAAATTGATCGCCCAAAAAGTGACTACCCTAAAATTCCATAGATAAGAGCGGTTCATAGATAAGAGCGGTTTTCGCTAAAAAATACTTTTTTTCTGAAATTTTGTTATGGATATTCATTTTCTTTCCTTATTTTTAACCTTACGTCTTATATTTTTTGTTTTAGAAATTATGCAACGTTGCAAGTCTTATACGGCGGCTTTCAAGCTTAATGCGGTGAAGCACCGGGATGCGCATGGAACATTAGCGGCAGCTATTCATTTTAATGTGACTGAAGGAATGATTAGAAAATGGGTTGCGGATAGGGATATCCTCGAGGAGATGCCAGCAACGAAAAGAGCCCGGCGTTACAAAAGGCCAAGCGTGGAAGAAATTGAGGAGGAAATTTACAATTGGATTGTTCAAAAGAGAGACCTTAATAGAGCAGTCAAAATAAATGAGATAAGAACCAGAGCAAAGAAGTTGGCAGAAGAGCACGGTTACCACGAGTTCAAGGCATTCACGCGTTGGTGCAGCTTATTCATGACACGAAAAAAATTGTCGGTACGAAGAAGAACAAGTGTAGGACAACCACTGCCATGTATAGAGTGTGCTCCTTGTTGACAGACAATTTGTCAGACAAATTTGTCTCGACAACTTTTTTGTCGGACAATTGATCCGACAAACTTCCGACAACGCGTTTTCTAAAAGGTGCGCTTTTTAAGCAAAGCTATAAAGGCTGCGCGGAAAAAAAAATGTGCAAAATTTTCTTAAAATGTAGTAATGGATAGTTTTATTTAAGGATTTAGGTTTTTTAGGGCGTGGAATTTGTTTTTGAATAGTTCTAGTGCAAATGTGGACAATAAGCCTGGTAAATTCTTAAATAACATAATTTTTTAATAGTGTTTCTTAACTTTTTCCGTTTTAAATATGTTTTCTTTAATTTTCCATAGCATTTTAAAATTTTTAAGTTTTAGCCAACTTTTGACATGAGCTCTGACGATGAAAATGTCTGAAAATGATTTATAAGCGTAGGCAACTATCACTAGACTTTACCCTATTACTGGGAGAAGCATCCATTTTCTCTCAGAATCACACGGTTCTCTACGCAGTACTCTAAATAGTAGGAATTATCAATTTAACCTGTTTGAAAAGGAGAAAAAAAAAAAACAAAAAGTTATGGCAAGAATAACAGAAAAAAAGCGCAAGATTTTAATGTACATTTGCATTTTGAAAAATTTGCCGACGCAAAGCATAGGGTTACGGTAGCTTATCTTCGGCGCGCGCTTTTTAGAAAACGCGTTGTCTGCAAGGAACACACTCTAGCCATGTAATCATCAGCAAAAATGTTCTTCTTTCCGGAAGTTTGTCGCAGCTAAAGGCTTAAACATTTCTCGTCACAACTTAGGAAATGTCGATGAAGTTCCGGTTCCCTTTGATGTTGTGTATGAACGGACTGTGGATGTCAAGGGGCGAGACAACATAAAAATTGATTCCACTGGTCATGAGAAATCAAATTTTACAGTTGTACTTGGTACACAAACCATTTAAGGACAAATTGAAGGATGGCTGGGAAAAATGGATGGCAAACGAAGCCAATGCAAATTATACAAAAAGCGGAATCAGAAAAAGAATGAGCTACCAAGAAGCAGCATTTTTGGTCAGCCAAAGTTTTTTTTTCCCATCTCTTCTGACACTATCATACATAGCTTTGAAAAAGCACTATGTGATGTTGAAAATCTCAAAAACGATTTTCCCTGTATGGATATAAGCGATGATGACGATGTAGAAATTGAAAATCTTAGTTAAATTATTGTTATTTTTGTTGTTGCTGTTGTTTGGTTTTATAATAAATTAAAATATTAAAAAAAATTTTGGCAAAAATTAAACCGCTCTTATCTATGGAATTTTAGGGTACTTTTGAAAAAAGAGTTTGGATGAAAAGTGCTTAGAATTGTGTATATGGGCTATATGTATAACCTAGAAGGGTTGGCAGTAAAATTTGAAAGGATCTAAAAAAGATTTTCAGAAATAGTTTTTCGAAAAAAATAGTAAGGGGAGAGCCTTATCATTTTCGAGAGTCCGGGGGTCATGTCTGAAAAAATTTCCTTGTTTTAAACATGTTTTTCGTTCGTTTTAGAGCATTTCCAATCGAACTAGAGTGGTTTTAAAAGATTTTTTCTTTGAATTTTATATGGTTCCCCTTATGTGGATTTTTCTGGGAGTCCGAAAAAGGATAGGGAAACGGGCATGCCCTTTAATTGCGGTATTTACGGTATATATTGTTAAAATGGGCAATTCCGGGTTCTGTTTTTAATCAGTTTTCAAATTTGTTGTTCAGTTTGTTGTTCGGTTTGTTGTTCAATTTTTGTTCAATCATTTTGTTCCCTTCGATTTTGCCGATTTGAAATATTTCTACCGATAGCCGAGCACCGTTTCGATTTTGTTTTACAAAATCCAATAAAGTTAACATTTCAGTTGGTTTGTGTTCGATGGCCACCTCGAGGACGCTGAAAGGATTTTTCAGTAACATAAAGGCACTCAGCCTGAGATTGAAATGAGGCAATTACATCAAGGCCTTACCCTGGCTACAGTACCATTTAAGTGGCTTTTAAACCTCTTCACTTGAAGCAATTGTTTTGCCCTTTTCTCCAGGCTTACTATAGGCACTGATCGACTCCATCTAAACGTCGAAACATTGAGCATGATCTGAGCTCGAGCTCGTAAAAACTCGTAAAGGTGTCCCGGCCTTTCCGAATTCGACTTCGCATCGCGTAATTGGAAACTTTTCGGGAGTCTCCAGTATCATTTTCCAAGTTTTCGCTTTCCTTTCTTCATCGACGTCTCGAACTCCGGGCAGATCCGAGCAGATCTCCAGCCAGTTTTCATTTCCATTCTCAAACGCCAGCAAAATAGCGGCATCTCGATTTTGACTCGGAATTCCGTTGGTGACAATCCAACTAACCATCCTTTCTGTGCTCCAGTTTCTTTTCCAGTCTCAATCACCGCTTCATCTCTTTTCTTTCCTCTACCAACAAACAATGATTGTCCAGTGATTCCCAATCTGCAAGTGCTTTCGACAACCTAGCAAGTGGCTCCTCAGAACATTAAAGTTAAATGAATTTATTGAAAAACGAGCATTCATTAACTTTGAACTCGATCATCAACATTGTTATAGTAAACAACAGTTGGGGATCGATCGACTTGTTTTTTGCATAGCGGTATCTCGATTTTGAGTTTTGAGCCAACATAGATTAGAATGAAGATGAAGATCAAGCCGAGAGTGAACCACGAGATATGATTCGAGGCGGGCGGCCCATTGATCCAGTCTGAAATTGATTTATTCTTTTTCATATTTCGCACGTACCTCTCTTTTTGAAGCAAAATAGATGTGTTTTCGAGTGCTTTTTAGAAAACCCATAATGGGATTTTTGGGTAAATCTCATTTTTAAGAAAAACTGTCGAACCGATTTTTTAAAAAGTTGCAGATTCGGAATCAGCGCAATTTTTTACGCCGAATGGCATGTCAAACTTGAATTTTGACCAGAAAAATTTTTCGTGCCGTTGTGCACCACTCTAAATTGGTGACGATTCGTAGACTATTGGGTTGGGGAGAATGAGTCGGCGCCGAAAATGAAAAAAATGAGTAAAACTTCTATTCGACTTCGTCAAATAATATGCGTTTGATACTCATAGAATGGTTAACTAATTCTCTACAAAATCACATTTAAAAGAAAATTCAAACAGCGCCTCCGCTCAAGAAAAAGCCATTTTTTCACAAAAACTACAAACTGTGATCTAGAAAAAACCATTGGTGGGATCTTCCTGCAAATTTGGCAACTTAAGTAATTGAATGTGCTCTATCTTTTTTATATAAACACCAAAGAAGGTTTATGTGAAAGAAACTGTTCAAATGATGAGTCGGACTCTTTGCCATTTTAACCAGCTGCGTTTGGAAGTTCATAAACTCCACGAAAGAAAAGCTTTGTGGAATCTCTCAAAAGTGATTTTGTAGAGAAATAGTGGATCCTTTTGATGAAACCAAATGTATGTTTAAAGAAGGCTTTATGTGTGCAAAAAGTCCCTTTAAAGTTTGGCGCCGACTCATTCTCCCCAACCCAATAGATTCAAGTACATTATCAATTTACATATCATATAAACAGATAACTTTTGATTTTTAATGATCAATTTTAATCATTTCATTTGATGATTCATTTGAGACTCGATTGTTTCTCGTTGAAGAGTATGGTCGATGGTTTGCAGAATTTGAAACTCAAATGCTCAAAGGAGAAACTCGAATGTTTTTTTGACGATAGAATGTGAATGAAAAGTGAAAGCAAGAATTTGCAAATAGAAAACGACTGGTTGAATATCTTGTGACTTTTAAGTGACTTCTTGTGACTTCTTTGGACTTTTTGTGTTCAGTTATTTATACAGTCATGGACAAAAGTCTTGGCGGCTCCTGAGTGGCAACTTTCAGACGCAAATTTAGGAACCTTTCCGAGAGGCTATAAAAAAGTTGTCACAAGTATTTTTGAGCATTTTTACTCTACTTTTAGTTATGACCAAGCATTGAACTAGAAAGTTTATTTGAGACAACAAAAATAAGCGTAAACGCGTAAAGCGCAACAAAAAGGTCACAAAAACAATGGACAAAAGTCTTGGCGGCTTACTACTCGTTCAGTTATTTATATTGCATCAAAAGTTTTCCCAGTAAGTTGGCTGATTTGAGGCCAATTGGGATTGGACGAACGATTGGACGAATTTTCGAAAGAGTCCATAGATTTCTAGATCGAAAATGATCAAATATTTAATTTCAGGCAAATTCTGCGACTTGTGACACGTTCAAGAGTCAACACGTCCACGTCCAGAATCCAAGAGTCAACAGGAAATCGATTCCATCGTGAAAGGAGCCTTTGTTGGAGAGAACATTGAGTCCATCTCTCACACACAGATGCACGAACTCTCGTGGAGATCGACCAAATGTTAGCGGGCAGAGGATCACTCAAAATTGAACCGCAAAAGAAAATCAATGGATTTGTTAGCAAAAAATGGATTTGTTAGACAAAATGATTTACAAAAGTTATTTTCGAAAGTACACATCAATTTGTGAACACAGTAAATCTCGTGCTTTGTAATTAGGAAAATTCTACTCACAAAAAAGCCGCAATTTTCCATGGAAACCAACAAAACTCCCAAATAGCATTGACTTTCAGTGCTTGTTTTGCCTTCAAACAGTTACAAAAATGATTTCAATTGCGATGCATTCACTTTTTCTTTTCTTTTTTATCACTCAACACTCGGCACGTCAATTTCGAGGAGAAATCGCGACGGGAAATGAGGTGAAATGTTTAAATAAGTTGAGCAATAGCAATAGTAATTTTTGAAAACATAAAGTAATAAAATCAGTGCAATGAGGATCGAAAATTTATGTTATATTTGATTTGATTAGAAATTTGATTTGATTTGATTAGAAGTTTGATTTGATTTGATTAGAAGTGTATCTGTAAATCATTTTATCGTTTTATCAATCATTTTATCATAATTGAATTCTCTAAAATCCTTTTTAGGATACCAAAAAAAAGAAAATTGCTTCAGAAACGGTGTGTTTACATTTGAGCTTGTTGTACGCTTTGTCATGTACTCAATAAGTTTAAATAAGTTGACACAATTTTACAAAGAGCTGGATGTACGCTTTGTACTCAATAAGTTTAAATAAGTTGATACAATTTTACAAAAATCTAGAGCATCTAGCTCATCTAGAGCAAAGGAAAAACTCGCCGTTTAGTCGTGGATACCAATCGATCACTTCTGCTTTTTTATCGATTCCGGCTCTCTCGACTATGTCGTCAAGTATCCGATAGTAGTTCTCATTCCAATATTGCCCCAAAAGCACTTTCTCTAGGTTACCAATCTAAGCCTTCTTTTCTACTTTGACACACAATGGGAAAATGTCAACAACAACGTGACATCGACGGTTTGTATTAGTGCTTCTATAGTCGAATTACGGCCAGAATTCTTAGAGCTTTCCCCACAGAAAAGAGGGTGTTGAAAGCTTGATTCTTTTAGTTTTATGTTTTAGTTACAACAACGCCTCGCTCCTCTCAATCCACTCTTCAATCAAGTTGTAGGTTCGTGCTGAATTCATCGAGTAAAGTCGTTTAGCAACCACTCTTCGGCGAAACACCAATGCAGAAATGTCACGAAGAGAAAATAAATGGAATTCGGATGATGATTTGTGAAGGAACTCGACGATTTATGTTTGCCTTTTGCCAAATTTTTTATTTCGTTCTTAGTGCTGATATTCAACTTTCAGATCTGTCCATTCTCGTTGCTGGTATCTAGTGATCATGCAAGAGAATCTCGTTGTCTCAAATTCCAGTCTTGAAACAGGTTTGAGACAAAAACTGCTTAAGTTGAAGCAATGCTTAGAGTTCGATTTGGTGTGGGGAAACGGCAAGGAAGCAGGCGCCTTGTTGTGGCATTTTTCGGCAGACGAATACTGTAAGGACTGGATTTCGCTGGATTTCGCTGGATTTCACTCGATTTTCCTTAAACTTAGCTCAATTTTGCCGTATTTTTCCTACAAACTCTACACTCTAAACCTGCTTAACGAGTCCGTGCAAAATTTCCAGACAGTCTGCGTCGCTCTTCGACTTTTTACTACCCAAAGCTCCTTCGAGCATGAAACCCAATTCTCCCGCAAGCCCTGATTCTAGGCTTTATTTTGATACTAAACATGGCTAAGTTCTGTTTTACCATTCTTTAGATTTCGACCAATCTTTCGTCGGACTCGATAAGCTTAACGAGTCCAGAAAAGTCTTTATCTAAAATGATCGAAATCTAAAGAATGACAAAACAGAACCTAGCCATGTTTAGTATCAAAATAAAGCCTAGAATCAGGGCTTGCGGGGGAATTGGGTTTCATGCTCAAAGAAGCTTTGGGTAGGAAAAAATCGAAGAGCGAGGCCGACCGTCTGAAAATTTTGCACAGACTCGTTAAGCAGGACATTTTCATTCAACAGGTAAAGAAAAAACTTAGATCTCTTACCAATTAATGTCGGCTTCTACACGTTCAATTTCATCATTTTTGGTGTATCTTTGGTTGTGGCAAGTGAGAGTTTTGGGCTTTTGTTTTAATTAGTAAATTATTGAGAACTTTATTGAGAAATTAACTTGAAATATTAACTTTAAAGTGTTAAAAAACCTAAAGTCAACCTTAATTACAATCAAAAAATTAATTTTGAGCAATTTCAGTGAGACTCAAATCCCGCAACACCTTTCCATCAACGTATTACCTCTATCAGCTCTCGATTCTCATCGAATGCGTCGCTTTACTCTCGTTCTCAATTTACTATTGTAAGTTGAAAAGAATTTCAATTGATCAAAGTGATATTTTCGATACTTATTCTCTCGATGGAATCGGCGTTGTTTTGTGGAAAACGATTGGTTATGTTGCAAGGTAAGGTTTTGACTCAAATGTGCTTACTTTTGTTTATAGAAGTCTTCGGAAAGGTCTCTTTCTTCTATACTTACTTGTCATTGCCAAAGTTCACATTGATACAAGGTTAGTAAAAGATCTCAAAAAGCAAAAGCAAAAAGCAAAAAGCAAAAAGGTTCCTAGCAAAAAAACATTTTTGTAACGTATGAAAAGTGTTTTTTTCTTCACCCAACGTTCTCACCCCGCTGAACTCAAACAAAATTTACAAAAAATCGCAGAACTTTTTTTAGTTATAGCTTAAAAACATTTCAAAGATGTAACCAAACCAAAATAAAAACATCTTTGTCAAAATCTCTTTGATAATTAGTGAAAGGTTGCTAAAAAGCTAACAATTCGGCCGGAAGCTTTGGCTGACAAAAATAGAAATGCTGCCTAAAGCTGTCTAAGGCTGTCTAAGGCTGCCTAAAGCTGTCTAAGGCTGCCTAAAGCTGTCTAAAGCTGTCTAAGGCTGTCTAAGGCTGCCTAAAGCTGTCTAAGACTGTCTAAAGCTGTCTAAGGCTGTCTAAGGCTGTCTAAGACAGTCTAAGGCTGTCTAAGACTGTCTAAAGCTGTCTAAAGCTGTCTAAGGCTGTCTAAGGCTGTCTAAGACTGTCTAAAGCTGTCTAAAGCTGTCTAAGGCTGTCTAAGGCTGTCTAAGGCTGTCTAAAGCTGTCTAAAGCTGTCTAAAGCTGTCTAAGACTGGCTAAGGCTGTCTAGGGCTGTCTAAGGCTGCCTAAAGCTGTCTAAGGTCTAAAAAATCAAAGTTGTAAGATTTGAAATCTATTCAGATAGAAAGAATACTTTTTAAAATAAAGGAAAAAAAGATTTAAACATGTTGATTGTTGGAGAAAAATGAATTTTACTAGTTTCTGGTGTCCCAAAAGTATAGATACTTGTCAGAAAAATGGAAATAACAACATTTTATTGGCTAAAAACTGCAACAAATCATCATTAGCTAGTTTGCTCACAAGTAGCTTGTATCACATCACAAAGACGATCAGAGATTTTATCATAAAGCGTATCAATTAACTTTTGATCGAGATTGCTCCATGCCTTACAGTTGCCTACAGTTGCCTACAGTTGCCTACAGTTGCCTACAGTTGCCTACAGTTGCCTACAGTTGCCTACAGTTGCCTTACAGTCCTTTTCAGTTGATCAATATACCAAAAAAACGTTTTCCTTCTAGTTGGTTGATTCTAGTTTGTTGATTCTAGTTCGAAATCGCTTCCCTCTCGCATTCTCCTCAACACTCTTCAATCATGTCAAACATTTCTCTTCACTATTCTTGCCATCATTTATGCGCTCTTTTCAATGAACTTGATGTCAAATGTGTGTTTATTTCAATTACTCATCAAGATCCAATTTCAGACTTTCGACCCAACCCGAATCCAACACGAACTGATCACTTCTTGTGGTCTTTCATTTATCATTGTCCATGTATGTGAATCTAATTTTATAAGTGATTGTGATAAAGTGATTTTAGATGATTTTTTGGACTATTTGGCTCTTTCTTTCAATGATATCTCAAAAAAGACAATTTCTTCTTACCAGCGTCATGAGTTTTTGGTAGGTTTTAACTTTGAAAGCGATAGGTCTTCGGTAATAATAGTCTTCAGTAGTCTTCAGTAATAATGCATTCTACCTTTTCCTGTTATTAAAAAAATTCAAACGAATCTGCTGGTTTGGTTTTAGGTTTTTCCTTGGTCTCTTCACATGGTTGATGGCCAATTTTGTTCTAAGTGACACTGTGAGAAAAGAAGTAATCGATTTGATAGAATGCTCGACAACCGTTTATTCTTTTCTCTTCTTTCTCGTCAGTTACCATTTCTTTTTCCCCATTTAATCTCTTTTCAGATTTTCAACAACTTTCAGACTCCAACAACAAATCAACCAGTAAGAATCAGTGTTTTTTTATAGGTGTACTTGTAATTGTATTGTACTTGTAAAGGTCAAAATATTACTTTAGATTTCTTTGAATCAAACGGAAAGAGAGCCGAGTATCTACATAAAAGATATTTCACCGGAAATTTTGACTGGAGGAAAGAAGGAAATGAATGAGAATGATTGAAAGAAGATTTTGTGGAAGATTTTGTAGAAGAGTTCGAGAAACAAACAACAATTACTTCTTTATAAAGATTAAAGAGAATATTTCCGGTTTTTTTATAAGTTCCATAAACAATTACTTTCATCTTTCTTAACACTACACACAGTTTTGATCTGTGATTCGATCTGTGATTCGATCTGTGATTCGATCTGTGATTCGATCTGTGATTCGATCTGTGATTCGATCTGTGATTCGATCTGTGATTCGATCTGTGATTCGATCTGTGATTCGATCTGATCGATCTGGTCGATTCAATCGATCTAGTCTGTGATTCGGTGACTGTTGTAAAGTTATCAAAAGCAATTGGGCACTTTACTTTTTGAAGTTATTGTCGATGAACTTATTGATTGCTTTTTATTGTATACCACTAGTTTTTGCCAAAATAAAGTAAGTCAAAAAGATAAATACTGTTCAAAAAACATAAGCAAAAAGCCATCATAAACAAATTCTCAAATCAATCACCATCAAATCGTTGTCAACGGACATCCACCAGCTGAGGGTTCATTTCCGTTTCCTATCCGAGTTGCCACGATTCTAAAAGATCGGTACAAGAATTTCAAATATCAAAAATTTGTTCTTAGGCATTTCCATCATCAATGTCGTGGCTTGATTATTGCACCAAACTGAATTCTAATCAGTTGAGCATTGTTTATTCGGAAGACCAATCCACACAGGGATCACGAGTACAAAGTAGTGCTTTATCTTGTATTCGGCCATAACAAATGGTTAATAGATTTATCTTCTATAGTTTTTATCTTTATTTTTATTGACTAAAACCATTGCTTCCTTTTTAAAGTCCAAATGGAAGCGAACAAGTGCCAAAAGAAGATCTGTGCATGTTGGCCATAAGTCAAAGTATAAACTTGTAGCATAGTTTTTAAATATAATACTTATTTACTAGTTAGTAAAACTATTACAAAATAAAATAGATAAAAATTAAGCCGGATTCTATGTCGACGCTGCTCGAAGATGTGCTGCTGGATACCAGCGAAAATCCGAAATCTCTACGAAAATTCAGTACAGGACTCCTGTTTTCCGACAAACTTCGAGGCTGAATTTCTTGATGTTCTTGATGGCTAGCACCCATCTAAATTGCACATTAACAAGTCAGAATTAGATGGAGATTCGCAAGGTACCCATCGCAAGTCGATCCGAGCCCTAGAAGTATGATTTTCAGGTCAATCCCTAAATAGTAAGTGAATGTATGGAGTAAAAAGTATGGAGTTACTCACTTTTGGAATTTGGAAAAAAAAACCGATTTGGAAAAGTTCGTGATTTCAACTTTCGCCTTGCTCTTGCTCTTCTCGTTGCTCCAATGCACCGAAGCAATGAAAATGTGTTGAAATCACGAAGGCGATTTTTTTTTGTTTTTCCTGAGGCAACACTTTTCCAAATCGCTTTGCATAAAAAGGGCCAAATTAGTAGTAAATTAGTAGACACAAATCAGTTTGCTATTTCCTGAAAATGTCCACCAAATCGATGGCTTTCGCCTTGCTCTTGCTCTTCTCGTTGCTCCAATGCACCGAAGCCGGTCCGCTCGCCTACTATTTGTGTGTTTGTGGTTTGTTTTTCATCATCGATATTTCAAAGTTTAATAATAAAAGCTAACAAGGCTCACCAAATGAAATGAGCCATAGAATTTTACGCTGATTCCGAATATCTGATTCGTTTTTGCAAAATGATTCTGAATCGCGCGCGATTTGACAAACAAGTTTTTGGCCTCTCTTTATAAAACTTAGGGGCGCACTAGATGAAAATGGCTGCATGGTGTGCTGGATAGTGGGTTAGGATACGGAGTAGCTACTCGTGTTTTCGTATCCGCTCACTTTTCCCTTTTTTTTGTAAGCTAATTTAACTGAACGTTGAACGTTGAAGTGATAGCTCTTCATACGATATGAATACAATGCCGTTAGTGGCTTCGAAGAAGACTTTTTAAGGTCAAAAACTTGTTGAAACAACGCTTGACTTGAAATTCTTTTCGTGCAGATTCTTTTCTCTATTTTTCTTCTTTAGCTTGCACAGCTATTCCAACCGCCGCGACGGCTGGAGCCGCGGCTCCAATATCGGCTGTTTGTATCGCCGCATGTGCCCCACTCCTCGTCGCCGGTCCAATATAATTGATCAATTCGGCCAAAACAACGCTGATCCTCCACAACTAGCTCATCAACAGACAATCTTGACTTCAATATTTTTTTTCAATAAATCTATACGTGTACATATCAAAAAGTCAAATCAATTTTACTTTTCAATCAAAATAACTCTTGATCGAAACTTCTCGAAACAAAACCATTTGCAAATAGGTGACGATTTTTGTGAACCATTCTTGTATCTTTGTTACTTGCGAGAACACCACAGCCTTGCGCTTGCCCACTTTACCCAGTTTTGCAAAGTTTCTTCTGTACCTAAACCGAAACTATCACTAAAAGAATGTGCATCTATAAACATCTATATGAACTCAAACTAGATAAGAGCTTTTAGTGAATGTATGGAGTAAATGTATGAAGTTACTTACTACTTGGGAATTGGCCTGAAAATCATACTTCTAGAGCTCGGTTTGACTTGCAATGGGTACCATTCGAATCTCCATCTAATTCTGACTTGCTAATGTGCAATTTAGATGCGGTGCTAGCCATCAAGAACATCAAGAAATTCGAGCTCGAAGTTGACCACTCGGGGAAATCACAGTGATGCGCTCAAAATGATTTGGACGGTGGTATTTTTTTTCTCTTATGAGTGATCGACTTGCACTCAAAAAAAGTCCTACTCTGATCAGTTTCTAATCTTATGAGCCTAAAAGCTCTTATCTAGTTCAAGTTCTGACTATAAAATCTTTGATTCTCCTGAGTTCGGCGCAAGGTCAAATTTTCCAACTTTTTCTGTTGCAAATCTTTTGAGCAAAGCAAGGCAAATGATTTTTGAGCAAATCAGCAAATAAATCATTGTCAAATTTGGCTTCTCCATGTATTTTTTTAGTCCAAAAAAGTGTTCTTCGAAAAGATTTTGGCTCGGCGCTTCAAAAAAAAAGTTCAAAAAGGCCATTTTTGGTCATTTTTGACCGTTTTTTGGCCATTTTTGCCCGTTTTTGAACTTTTTTTGAGGAGCTATGTGCGCGCGCCAAATTATAAAAGAATCCTATCCAATAAGAATATCTGATCACCCAAAAGTAAACCTTCTTAGCTCACTTCTACAAATTTCATTTTTATTCCAGAAGCTGTGACATCAGTCCGGCCGCTTGCGAGCCACCCGATATTAATGCCCAGATTTGTGCCAACAGCGTCCACTTACTGGCTGCACAACCGACGATTACTCCTATTATTATGATTGATTAATCCAATTAATGACTAATCAACAACTGCAAAATGTTCTTTTCTTGATAAAACGTCGTAAAAAAAATCAAATAAGATTCCTTTCTAAACAATTGATATCAAAATAATTGATGCTATCTTCATAAATCCATTACATTAAAAATATATCAATTGTAAAAAAAACATGTTTTAAAGATCAAAATTCTAAATTTCGAATTTTGATCTTATATTTTCTGCTCAGATCTTAAAACAAAGACTTTTCCCCACCAAAGTTCAACACCGACTTTTCCCTCTAAAAGATAAATCTTTTCCTTTTTAGTCTCTAGCTTATAGCGTGAAGATTTGAGTGCCGAGATAAGAAGCATCATTTGCAATTATGGCTTTCACAAAAAGTTTGCTTCTATTTGCACTTTTCTCAATAGTTCAATGTTTTGAATGCCCGAATGGAAGCCAACCAATGCCGAATGAAGATGTTTGTATGTATGCGATCAATCAAAGTAAGCAGCTTTCATGGAAAGTTTATTTTAAATGATAAACTATTGTATAACTAAAACAGTTTTTATTCATATTCCTTACAATTTTTGATTATCTAGATACTTGAGTCTAGTTAAAAAGCTAACTATTGGGTTGGTGAGTTGAAAACTGCGGGACTTTGAACTAAAATTTATTGAACATAAAACCATGAATTCATTCGAAATGATTTCCATTATTATTGACGACTTCTGCCCATTTTACAGGCAATTTGCGGATTCCTCTTTCGTAGTAGGATTTTGGTTTGTGTGTGAGACAAGTGTGAGACTCAAAAATGGAGGACTGGAGATGTCCCAGTTTGAGCATTTGAGCACTTTCTTCAAAAGAAACCCATTTTGGTGTCAATAGAAAAGTTGTAGAGAATCAAAAATTAGGCTTATAGCCAAATTTCCAAAAAGATACACTTGGTAGTTTCGCTTAAAATGCAAGTTTTGTGAAAATTCATAAATTTCGCATTTCTTGAAAACCAGTTTTTGAATCGTTCTGAAAATTTGGATATAAGCTTGATTTTTGATTCTCTACAACTTTTTCCATTGACACCAAAATGGGTTTCTTTTAAAGAAAGTGCTCAAACTGTCACATCTGACATTAGCCGGCAGTTTTCAATTCACCAATCCAATAAATCACACAAAAACTAAGTCAAAACAGAAACTAAGTCAACACAAAACTAAGTCACACAAAAATAAAGCCAACATTTAGAACATCATTCAAAAGTTTATTAAGCTACATAAACTCTAAAATAAATTAAAATTTTGCGTTTAGCATTTAATTCCAGATGAATTCTATTACGATGTGATTCGACGATGTGGCGCTCTTGGTGCGATCCCGGCCAAAATCCAAAATCTCTACGAGAACTCGTATCTTTTTGTCGCTTTGCAACAAGGTTTTTGCTTTGTATGTTTTTTGTAAAACCAAAAACTTTAGAATTAAACAATGTTGCACCGTTTATTGGAGTTGAGCGAAAGAGGAACAATGTTTGGACGTACGCCGATGGGACACCGTTGAGCTATCAGAATTGGGCTCTCAGTGAGTTGACAAGGCTTATTTAGTCTGAAATTGAAGTTTATTTAATTAGAAATAAATCAAATTCGTACTAATCAATGAATTTTTTTGATTTCTGCTTGATCTTAGATGAACCAAACAACTCTTCAAACTCGTCCGCTTGTGCTATCATGGATCCATCATCGGGCAAATGGATTTGAGCTGAGTGCACGTATGCTCGCCCATTTGTCTGCTCAACTGATGGAGATGGTAAAAGATTTATTCATTTAATATAAAGCTAATTCTAGTTTCTAAAAGAGTTTTCAAAAACAATTACATTCTAGCTGTTCAATGTCCCACTGGTTGGGTCTACAACAATCAAACGAACTTTTGCTATTATGTACAGGTTAGTTGAATATTTTCAAGGATTTTTGAGTTCAAAAAACGAAATGATTCTAGGATTTTACCTTTCAAGATGGAGGTCACTGGTTCTACTACACTTTTACTGGAGCCGAGCAAAATTGTCAGCGCAAAAAGGCGCATTTGGTTTCGATTCACACGCCTGAGGAAGACACCTTTGTTCGACGTTGGTTCTAACATTTATAATAACTTGCAAGCATTTTCATTCAGAACTTGTCACTTCGGACATTCGAAATGCCACTGATGCAAATCCCTGTGCCAATCAGTATGCATGGATCGGGTTGACAGGCACTGGGGCACTTGGAGTCGGCACATGGATCGACGGATCACCCGTCGACTACAGTGGACACGCGACTGTTGGAAGTGCCAATTGGGGGGTCAGCTATTCTTTTTGACAGTACCTGATATTTATTAAATTTAAATTTGCTAGTTAAACTGTCGTTTTAGATTGGTAGTGACGCTGGCTGCAGTGTTAGCGGTTGGAATCCGATGGGAACTGGAGCTCGTTACGTTTGCAAAATGGCAGCAAAGGGAAAAGCCACAGCAAAGCTTGACTAATAAACTTTTTCACACGAAATCAATTTCAATTTGTAATTTAACAAATCTTTGTTACTTCCCCCTTCTTGGCCTGGCAATAATTAGTATCCAAGAAATCTTTGAGATGATTTGCAGCTACATGTGCTTTAACCAAACGCATTTCTATTCCTAGCGATTCCATCAAATACAACAAGCTTGCAGTAGTTTTTAATTTATTATAGATGCATATTCTTTTGGTGATAGTTTCGGTTTAGGTACAGAAGAAACTTCGCAAAACTGGGTAAAGTAGACGTAAGAAGGCGTGAAGAAGAAGCCCAATCACTGAATTTCCTTACTAGGAATGCTTTTGGATTTACACCTCGGTTTTGGGCCGAAATCTAGCACATCTTGTTTAGTTTTTTGCGCTGATTCCGATGTCGTTTGGGGATGACGATCCTAAAACTTTGAGATATTTCGCTGCAAAGTTTACCTCAAAAATTGAACATCCACGAAACCGCACACCCACGAGTCATAAGGGTTCTACAGAGGCTTGTGAACATGAGCTCGTGCCCGAGTGAAAAGTGCTCTCGTTCTTTTGGCCCTGATTCAAAAAAATCCAGCTGCGGCTCAACTTTTTGCTATTGCTAAAAACTGTTTAAATAATTTTTTCCAGGTTTTTTTGGTTATCTAAAGATCGCGTAACTACTAAAGAAATATTTCAGCTTTAAAGAAGAGAAAGAAGTCAAAATAACGGAGCTTAACGAGCTATTACTTCACTTCATGAGTGATCAATCCGAGACAAGGAAAGGCTTTATGGTAAAGCTTGACACTTATGAGTCTATAAAAACATAAACAAATAAATAAACAAAGGCCATCAGAAACCTTGAAAGTTTCAATAAAGTTTCAATAAAATCTTGCAAACTCAAATTTCAGACTGGATCAATGGGCCGCCCGCCTCGAATCATATCTCATGGTTCACTCTCGGCTTGATCTTCATCTTCATTGTAATCTATGTTGGCTTTAAATGCAAAAAACAAGTCGATCGATCCTCAACTTTTGTTTACTATAACAATGTTGATGATCGAGTTCAAAGTTAATGAATGCTCGCTTTTGAATAAATTCATTTAACATTAATGTTCTGTGGAGCCACTTGCTAGGTTGTCAAAAGCACTTGCAAATTGGGAATCACTGGACAATCACATTGTTCATTGTCTGTTGGTAGAGGAAAGGAAAGAGATGAAGCGGTGATTGAGGCTGGAAAAGCAACTGGAGCACTGAGAGGATTGATGTTTACCAAACTAACAATAACGATTACCAAACGATATGAAAAAACCGAATGATTATTGAGGTTATTCAAAAAATTCCGTTTTCTGCACAAATTCAACATTTCAAAATAGGCATTTTTCTTTTGGCAAGCGTTTTCCGAAGCTTAAAAATGGTTTCTTGCCGAAATTTTTTTGGCCAAGCTATCACTTTTCTTTTGTCAAATGATAAAAAGTTTAAAATTTAAAAAACAATGAAACCATTGATTATATTTGAAAAAAATGGGGCAAAAAATCCAAATTCGAATTCTAAAAGACAACCTTTTGGGCTATGGTATTAATTGATTTTATAAAACCGAAATTTTGCCGTTTGGAAATCATTTTTTTCTTCTCCCCAAAAGTGATTGGTGATCTTTTTCCATATTTTGAGTTTTTTAATTTGTTACTTGTTAGAATAAACTTTTATATCTTTTTAAGCGCATATCTTACTAGTTTTAAGCATTGTTTCGATGACAAATGAGCTATTTTTGGTCTACGATACGTTTTTGCTTAAAAACAGCGACTGTTTAGATCTTTTGAGTCAATTTTTGCCCCTTTTAGATGTAAAGCTTTGATTATTGTTGTTTATGCACTAAAAATCATTACAAGCTTTAGAAAAATCAAAGATTTACCTAAAAACTCCATTTCTCCCCACATTGTTTTTGTTCTGTAGCCGACTTTTCTGCCATATATTTACTGATTGTTCTTTTCTAATCTTTCAATTTTCAGGCAGAATGGCAGGACTTCCATTAGAGATGCCCAATCTTCTCAACTCCCGAGGTTCTAGTTAATTTTTGCTTGCTGTTAATTGTACTATCTTTATGTATTGTGTATTTGTGTATGTAGCGACACAATACAAACCAATGCACTGCGCTTTTGCTTTAAAATTTTCTACTTTTTTGCTTGCTTTTTTTAAGTTATTAGGTTCGTGCATAAGTCTTTACAATTTTTTTCGAAACCTCTTAAAAATAATGCCGCCACAAACAAAATTTCTATTTGAACTATTAAAAAGTTGAATGGTTTCTCTGCAAAATGACTTTTGGGAAATTCTCGGAGGTCGTTGTTTTTGTGGATTTTCAAAGGCGCAAAGGCGAGCACCCAAAGCTGCTTTGGTGCCGAAGTCGCAATTTTGACACTTTCTTCAATACAAACCTATTTTGGTGCAAAAAAGATAGAGCTCATTTGTTTACATTAGTCCGTAAAATTTGAAAACGATCTGTCTAGCCATTTCCTTTAAAACAGCAATGGAGAATTTTACCCAAAAATGAGTTTTTATCGAGTTGAGGCGAGCTTTGACCTTTCTCTCAAAAGCCATTTTGTAGAGAAATAATAGACCTTTTTAATAGTTTAGGATGCAATAAATTTGGTAAAGAATTCTTTTTCATGGAAACAAAAGTTTGGAAAGAATTGTAAAGACTTATGCGCCAACCTAATAAGTAATACGACCTTCCAAACATTCAGCTATGGGTTTTCTTGGATGGGTTGGAAGCAACAAGCAATTGAAAGCTGCTGCAGTCGGCAAGTTCTGGGAAGCTCATGGGAAACAGGTAAAAGCTTTAGCTAATCTTTAAACTTTCAATTTAGCTAGCCCTTATTATTGTAAAGCTTTCAGGTTCTAATGTGTGCCGCAGCCGGGGTCGTGCTATTAATCGGTATCGGCATCAGCGTCTTCGCTGGGCCGTTCATCGCTGCAGTCATCGGTAAGCTTGTCAAAAAAGAACAATATATTAATTAATTAACCGTTAATTAAACTATGATTGCTCTTAAAACTTAAAAATGACAAACTTTTTTAGGCGGGGCTCTGATCAGCGCCGGTATTTCGGGAATCATGACCTCGTTGAGCTCGGTGGGTTATTTACAGGAAGAGACTTTTAAAAATAGTGTAAGGAGTTTTTTTTCTGGTTTATTTGTGATATTCTTATGATAGTACATTTTAGAAAACAACTTGGGAATCATTTTTCGAACAAATGGCAATTGGAGCTGTGGTGGGAGCGGTGTCGGGTCTTTTTTCGTGGGGAGCATCGGCGCTCATCGGCAAGTTCACCGCCCGCGGTATTCACTGGGTTTGTATTGTTTTAAATTAATTATTAAGCTTTAAATTTGTATAGGTTTGTAATTAATTTAAAACTGCTAAAACAAAAGAACTAAATATTAGATTCGTGCATAAGTCTTTACAATTTTGTTTCCATGGAAAAGAATTCTTTACCAAATTTGTTGTGTCTTAAACTATTAAAAAGGTCTATCATTTCTTTACAAAGTGGAAAGCTCAAGGTTCGTCTTAGCTCGGTAAAAGCGCATTTTTGTATAAAATTTTCAATTATTGTTTTAAAGAAAATAGCTGAACGGATCGTTTTCAAAATTGATAGACTTATGTAAACAAATGAGCTCTATCTTTTTTGCACCAAAATAGGTTTGTATTGAAGAAAGTGTCAAAATTGCGGCTGCGGCGCCAAAGCAGCTTTGGGTGCTCGCCTTTTCGCCTTTGAAAATCCACAAAAACAACGACTTTCAAGAATTTCCTAAAAGCCATTTTGCAGAGAAACAATTCAACTTTTTAATAGTTCAAATAAAAATTTTGTTTGTGGCGGCACTATTTTTAAAAGAGGTTTCGAAAAAGATTGTAAAGGCTTATGCACCAACCGAGTACTAAAAATCTGAATCAATCAATTGGTTCTAGGGATGGAAGGTGGCGATTTCGTTCGGCACTCGAATGACCTCCGGCATCACATCGTCTGTTGTTGTGAAGGGTATCGTAAATAAGGTGAACTTTTTTTACATCGTCTAAAAGTTATTTCAAAAGTATCTACCAAACAAAGACAACGACAACTTTTCCTTTTCCAGTTGAGTGGCCGCCGCTTTTTCGATGATTGGAAACAAGCAGCGAAGACGGGAGCCATCATGGGTTTAATTGCTTTCGGCTGTGATGCTATTGGTTTTTTCAATTGGGAGCAAGCTAATAAGGTGTTAACGAAAAAATGATTTTCTTTTTCTTTTTGTAAACTAAACTTTCAGGTAACCAATGACATGATCAACAAGGCAAACAAAAGCATTCAGTCGTTGAAAGATAGTTTTAATGCGTGAGTTCAAATGAATATTATTTTACATGGTGGCCGGAAATGAGCCGTCCTTTTTTCTAGGCTCTCTACTTCTGTTATTTTTACACCCAAAACGATTAATTTCTTTTTTAAATGAAAATTCACATCGTTTTCTGTATATGTTGAAGATTTCATGAGCAGAACATTGATAGAAAACTTTTATGTGCGCTCAAAAAACGGCTGGTCAAAAAATAACTTCAATTTAGGGATTCCTTTATCGATGATCTTATAGAAAATTTTAACGTATTTAATATTTTTCTTGAATTAATCTACTTAAGCATAAAAAAACTTCGCTTTTAGAAAAAGCTGTAAAGAAACAACTATTTTGTGGTTTTTTTTTCAAAAATTCCAATTTTGAATTGCGGCCTTTATTTTTTTGAACGTTCATAAAAAATTATCTATCGATGCTATGGTCATGAAATCTTAAACATATACAGAAAACAATGTGAATTTTCATTTAAAAAAAGAAATTGATTGTTTAGGTCTACAAATAACCGAAGTATGAGCCTAGAGCGGGTTATTTCTGATCACCCTGTATTTTACCCTATCATTTTGTATGATGTGATACTTAGTGTTGATTTGTGTATTTTGCCATAAATTAAAATTTCAGGGTGACGGCACCTTGGGCCCGACACACGTTGACTACGATGGCTGAGCTGGGCAAGGCGGGAGTCGAGAATGCCTGGATTCAATGGATCACCACTGGAAAGGTGATTAGAAATTTAATATCTCTATATGGGTTTAATTAATTTGTTTTAAAAACGCTTAGTTTACTTGCTATAGAAAAACAAATTTTCAGATTGATTGGAGAGTGGTGGCGCTCGGTGTGATTGTGTACGGTGGGATGAAGGCGGCTCGTGCCGGCTACAAATATGCGACAGATAAAGGGCCACAAAAAGAAAAGAACGATGAGCAAATTAGGGAGGTTAGATTGTGATAAATTCTAGAAATACTCTTTTTGAAATAGGTCATTGATGATTATGAACATTATGGAGAAGACGACCAGGCCAACAAAAACGGATCAGTTGAGAAGCCGGCTTGTATAGGCTCTATTCGAGATAATAAGGTTGTTTTTAGAGAATGAATTTTAAAAATCACATAAAACTTCCTATAGTCTAAATTTAAAATTGTTCAACAAACTTCAGACCGGGAACGTGGGGAAGGGCGTCAATTTCAATGCTCGTGTCGAGAAAGCTAATGGAAACCTGAAAAAACCGGGAGATAGTGGTTTTATCAAAAATGATCATCGTGATGATTTATCAATGGGGTATCTAGTTGTTGAAGGAGAAACCTATAAAGTGAATGGACAAACAGTGAAAGCAACCGGACGTTTCATGAACATGACCGATGCTGATGTGAGCACTTCAGTGTGGTTTTGGCAGAACCAAATTAGCAATTGAAAAAAGAGCTAATAATTTATTTTAGGCTAGTGCCAACTTCGGAGCTGATGATTACATGAAACAACAACGGGGATGTGCTGAACCGGACATGATTCAAAAATTAGACATGGCGAACGACTGTAAGACGCCGTTGAAACACACAAACTTGTTCGCTTTTGGCAAAACCTTCAACAAAGGGCAAGGATATGTGGTAAATTTTTTCACTTAATATACAGGGTGATCAAAAAGTTCCCGTGCACTTGTAAATGTTTCATTTTCTAAATGAAAGCTAAAACAAAATTCACCGTGTTTTATACGTATAGGATTTTGAAGCTGAAATTCGGATGAACATTTCTATAAGTGAAATGACTCCGATCAGAAATTTCCAGCCTTTTCAAGAAGTCTTACAATGCATTCAAGACAAACCGCCCATCAGACAAACACAGTTTCGCATGTTTTTAAAGACTTTTTATACGTTTTTATTTTCACGAGAGATCTTATTCTTTTAAAATAACGATTGAGTTGTTTGTTACTTAAAACAAAAGTGTAAATTTTAAAAAGGCTTTTTGAAGGGTTTTTCAATTGAAAACAGGTTCAAATAGGTGAGCGCGATGACAGTTTCCCTCAAGCGCACTACAATGGTTCTTTTGTAGAGCTAGGTGGCTCTGATCAGGATGATTTAGGTGTAGAAATACTCCCCACGATTTCAGCTTCAAAATATTATATAGTAAGTCGAATTTCGATCTGGATTTTAGCTGAAAAAATGGAGCTCCTTTTGTAAAGTGTGTGGGAACTTTCTTCTCACGCTGTAATGTTAATTAGTTTTGATTATCAGTTGCTACAATTATCAGTTGCTAATTGTTTTTTAATTTCAGGGCATCAAGCCTCCTTGCGACTCATGTAAATCAATTCCGGGCACCACCAACCTCTCCAATCCGTCAACTTTTCGTGCGAACGTGCAGGAGAACTACTTTTCGGTTGATCCCGAAACTCATCCAATTTACCACAATCTCCATCACAGTGAGAAAAACGAGAAAACGACTGCAAGTGCAAAAGGAGAAAATGACACACCTGCAAACTCTGGGTGTTCCAATGAAAGAACAAATCAACCGCAACCTATCTATCAACAAAGCAATGAACGGTCAGCTCAATCCAAAGCTTCCACGCCAAAATCTTCTAAAGATAAAATAAAACATCAAGCGAAAGAAAAGACCCCGGACTTATTCCAAAATATCGAGGATGAGGTCGGATTTGTGAAAAGAGCTGAACAAGAGCTGCTGAAGGAGAAACGCGAAGCGGAGAGATTGGAAAAGGATGATCTCCTTCGTGAGAATCGACCAATCATTCGACAAGAAGAACATGTTTATAGCAAATCAACGACCAATATGGCTAACACAAATGCTAGTGAAAGTCATCAAGATAAAAAGAGGACTGAGTATAACAAAGAGCGAGATGAGCAACGAGAGATTTCCGAGAAAAAGCCAAAGAAGAGTCACGAGCCATCCCTCAAACAACAGTCCACCAGTTTAACCAATGGAAAAGCTGAAAAGAAAAAGAAGAGAGTCGACATCTTTCCGATTATTTCTTACAGTGAGAAGCACAATAAATACATGATGATTGAGAAGAAAGATTGGCCAAAGTTTCCTGAAGGTTAGTGGAGGTTTTTTGCTCTTTATCATCATGAGCTAACATCATTATCATTTTATTCATTCCAGGGCCAACCAAAGTGATCGGTTTCACTGGGATGCGCGGCAGTGGACGGACGACACTCATCCACTCGTTGCTGTATAAAGCCGGCTATGCGTTGAGTGCAGAGCAGGCAATCTCGTCGAGGCTTGGCATCGGTATGTTACCATAGTTCGTTTAACCTTGTTTTTCTACAAAAGTTAGAAATAAAAGTTGTCTACAAAAGCTACAAAGTTTTGTTGCATTAATTAAAGTTGCTCACGAAGCCATATAAAGTCAGGTTTAAATTGTCGATTTTCAGGTCTAAACATGTACGTTTTGCGAGAAGATGGACTGATTTTCGTTGACGTTTGTGATAGCATGGATTCTGTTGATGAGAAACAGAATCCAAATTCGACAGAAACAGCTTCGACTCCACTTGGCTCATATGCTCTTGAAATATTCAGTTACGTCAACTGTGATCATCTCGTTTTCTCGTATGCCCTCGATGACCAGGTCAGTTTTCTAACTAAATTCTAAAATGAATAACATTATATTAAGTTGAGTACTAAGTCTTTACTCCTTCATTTCATCATCGAAATGAATGAGTCTCAAATTACCAAATACTAAACGATTTCTTCCATCATAAATGTTTATCGTTGACCTTTTGTCTTTTTTAAACAATCGTGAGTATTTTAGTCTCTGCAATCTGCAAAAACGAAAACTGATATTTTCTAAAATATTGAGAAATGAACACATAAAGAACACCGCTAAACGAATTCTTCTAAAATTTTGACTGTAAGCCTAACTTTTTGTGCGCTATCTTTTTTATTTTGCCATCAAAATAGGTTTTATTGGAAGAAACGGTCCAAATCACATCATCGGACCTTGTCGTTTTTGAACACTTAGCTTCTTGTCAATGAAAAACCTTCAAAACAAAGCTTTTCAGAAACTTTCAAAAGTTATTTGCAAGAGAAATGATTGAGCTAACTAATGAGAAAAAACTGTATCTTATTTGGTAGCCTGAGACTTATTCAATTAGAAAATGAATTTGGGGCAAGACTTACAAGACTTGTTAGTACTCAACCTAATATTATTGATTCATAGGTTTTCACTTTTTTAATGAAGTTTTAGTGCTCTCAATCAACGAAGCAGCTGGACGACTTTTTTCACAAACGAACGCAACTACTCTACACATCGTCGAGTTTTCTGAGCCGCTATGGCGCTCAAAATATCACTTTTCTATTACGAGGAAATAAACCAAATGAGAAAACGTTAGAGAAATGGAGAGAACTTGTCAAACTCTATGCCGATGAAGAAATGGATAAAGAAGGAAACCCTGAACCAAATGAGCAAACGGTAGAGAAATGGAGAGAACTTGTCAAACTCCATGCCGATAAAGAAATGGATAAAGAAGGAAACCCTGAACCAAAGAGGAACCTCGATGAAGATCACCATTTTTACATGAAACTCTTGCACACTGTTCGTTGTTTTCCTCTTCAGTACTTCCAATTGGAACGAAGTCTTGCTGGCCATCAACAATATGAAGAACAATTCGAGAATTTGTGGAAAAGAGTGATCGATGAGACGAGCTATCATATGGTTACTCTAAACCATAATATTGTAAGCTTTTGAGTCAGTAAGTATAACCAGATTTGTAATTGACTAACAAGGAATGCTCAACTGGATATGCTGGCCAAATCACATGAGCCATAGAGAATTCGATGCAGAATTTTACGCTGATCATGATGCTGCTTTTCTTTTTTTGCTACGGTGCACTCTGTCAAAAGTTATATGTGTTTAAAGTTTTGTGAAGAGTTTCAAAAATTAAACCGCGACATTACAACCCTGTCTTCCGCGAGTTCACCAGTTGCAGCGGTGGCCGAGTGGTAGTGATTTAGGACGCAGGGTGAGGGCTCTTCGGTTCGAGTCCGGTAGCTGATTGTCTTCTTTTTTTAGGTTTGAATGCTTTGTGCAGTCTCCGTTTTATAGAAATGTTGTTTAGCTATGCTTTTAACTTTAACTTTAAACGCGTATAACTTTTGACAGAGTGCTTCGTAGTAAAAAAAAAGAAAAGCAGCATCATGATCAGCGTGAAATTCTGCGTCGACTTTTCTATAGCTGGTTATGGCATGGCTCATGTGATTTGGTCAGCACACCCAGTTGACCTTCCCTTGTTAGTAAATTTCAAACTAAATATGTTCGATTGAATTTTCCAGGATGATCTCAAAGATGTCACCGTTCAAGGTCGCTTGATCACAACATGGAACGAGATCTCTACTTCAAAACAGATCAATGAAATCTCGACGGCGGTGGCCAACGAGGAGTACACAAAGAAGCAAGCATCGGGACCTAATCCTGTTAAGGTGGGCATTCAAATCGGGAATTGGCATTTATAAAACAAAAATTCTTCTTAAATGAAGAAAAAAGTAAGTAATAGTAACTGGCTAATGGCAGAAAAAATTGTGATTGAAAAGTTATGAGTTACACGACTCAAAAATTTGATGATAATTTAGACTTTCTTCGAAAACATCCAGCATTTTCGTTCCGAGCTGCCTTCCCAGTGCTCTTCGTTTAGTGCAAAGGTCGACGAATTTTTCGAGAAATGCAAAGAAGAAGGCGAACGATGGGAGAAAATTCCACCAAAAGACCGTGATCAGAGTCTTTTCTTTCGGATATTGCTCGATTTTGCGGCACTCTGCATTCGCGAGTCGCTCAAGTTTGACAATTTGAGTGAGGTTTGGTAAAAGATTTATTTATCTATAATATGACATTTCAAATTTAGGGTATTGGGCTTGGCTTGGAAGGATTTACGCTTTTCAAGGAGACACACGGAGGTTCGATGGACTTTGTGTTGCTTCGATACGCCGTGTTTGATTGTGATTTGATTGGGTTGCTCAGTGAAGAGATAATTTACATGAATTATAGGTTTGAAAAGGAGATTATAGTTGGAAATTGTAGTTTAGCAACTGTTGGAATGTCCTTTGTCGTTTGGCCACTTGCGGCTTCAGGGTGTTGCTCTTGTCGTTTCCGATCTGGGCAGCCACATTACGATTGCTGGAACGTGAGGATGAACTTGTTGGCGATAAGCTACGGCTATACAAGTTAGTTAAAATTTGTTTATGTTTATTTTGACTATTAAACTTATCGCTAATCTGTTTGATCTATTAGGTTGAGTACTAAGTCTTTACTCCTTCATTTCATCATCGAAATGAATGAGTCTCAAATTACCAAATACTAAACGATTTCTTCCATCATAAATGCTTATCGTTTACTTTTTGTCATTTTTTAAACAATTGTGAGTATTTTAGAATAATCTGCAAAAAAGAAAACTAATATTTTCTAAAATATTGAAAAATGAACACGAAATAAACGAATTCTTCTGAAATTTTGACTGTAAGCCTAATTTTTTATGTGCTATCTTTTTTATTCTGTCATCAAAATAAGCTTCATTGAAAGAAACGGTCCAAATCGCATCATTGGACCTTGTCGTTTTTGAACACTTAGCTTCTTGCCAATGAAAAACCTTCAAAACAAAGCTTTTCAGAAACTTTCAAAAGTCATTTGCAAGAGAAATGATTGAGCTAACTAATGAAAAAAACCGTATCTTATTTGGTAGCCTGAGACTTATTCAATTAGAAAATGAATTTGGGGCAAGACTTAGTACTCAACCGAATAATAGCCTTCAAATCTTTAAGAATTCAACATCATTCAGATAAAAATAACTTGTGGAAATGTGCTTCGTTTTCTGTATGCCCTTTTGGACACCGAGAATTTGCAAATGTTGCCGGCAAAAGTCGAAGCAACAACATCAAGCGATGGACTTCACTTGGGAGCGGCTCGCGAACGAGCGATGCTCTGTGACTACCGACTCGATTGTGAGGAAACGGTCGATAAAATGATAAAGGTAATCAAAACATTAATAAATAACTTGAAATTCATTTATATCCTTGATTAAATGAAATTTAGGATGCTTTCGCAGACTCACGAAAAGCTTTTGATGTTAATGATAAACTGGTCGCTTTGTCTCGGGAGTGGATCGAGAAGAATGAAGAGCTGAAGCGAATTGGAGTGACTTTTGAGCAATTGGATAAACGGATCGCTGACTCGTTTGCAAGCATAACTTTAAATATGTGCTTTGTCAAAATTGCAAAACATTTTGCTGAAAAAATCATTTGCAAGTTGAGTCTATTCCAATCTCGAAAGCACGTGGATCACGATGAGGAGATCATGCGTCTTCGTATTGCACTGATCCACCAACTTGTTGGTAAGTGAGCGTTTTTCCCTTGTCTTTTTATATTTTAATTTACTTAAAACATAAGCTTTCACAGATCTTGCATCAGATGACGAAGAATTGGCTATGAAAATCTTGCAAAAGACGACCATTCACGAATGGGTTTCAAATGAGTTCCTTAACAAGGTAAGGTTTGAGGTCTAAATATAACCCTAGAATAGTTTAAATCAAATGCGAATAATCAAAACATATCACACAACCATTTTCAGAAAGAGTTATCCACAAAAAGCGGCGCTCGGGCGATGTCACTTCTCGTGCAGCTTTTTTACGCCGAAGGATGTATTGAGAAGGTGGAACTTCGAAAGGAAATTCTCAAAATGGGAGCAGCTGATAATCGTGCACCGCAAAAGGTTTGATTTGTTTCTGGAAATTTTTCATTTCCTCATGCTTTGTCGGGATTTTAAGAGTCATTCGTTTCAGATCCACGACTTGGAGGAAGTAAAAGCAAAAAACCAACGTACTGAACAAATTGAACGATTTGGGCTTTTACGTCTCCGTACACTCGAACGACTTCAGCCAGATGGAGGGACGGAAAAATTTGATTTAAACGAACTCATCAAGTGTTTTTGTAAAGGAACACTCACAATCGATCAACAAAATGTGAGTTTAGAAATGTCCTTTTTGAAACACAAGCTAGATTAACTTTTAAAAAAAGGTAAATTTCAGTCTTGGACCGTCTTCATCACCTCCGTGACAGTTCATACACATATCGATGAAGAAAGAGAGCTCTTTGTCGATCCATTCGTCTTAAAGAGAGAGGCTATCATTGAAGCAGTTTCAAAAATGGTTATTAGTGCAGGTTAATGTTTCAAAAATGGAAACTTGATAATGTTAAATTACTTAATCAGAAATTGACTTTAAATTTAGTAAACTCACTGGCTAGTGGTAACAAGGAAGAGCATAAAGAGAGCAAGGGAGAGCACAAAGAGAGCAAGGAAGAGCAAGAAGAGAGCGAGGAAGAGCAGGAAGAGAAGATTCGTTTACTTGGCAATGGATGCAATCTCTTGAACCGTCTCTTTTCCGTATTCATCTATCACGAGTTTCAAGGATCATTCTATTCCATAAGACAAAAGACAATACAAGAAACAACAACTTGGAAAATGTTGATGGAAGTGATTCGAGGGATCTACACGAAATTCATTGTTGCTTTGACAAAATATGAAAAGATTCCATCAACTGAAGCCACTTTGCGAAAGTATTTGAGGTGAGGGATATTGAAAGAATCGACTTTTCGATGTTTTATTGTAAAATGATACCTGTTTTGTCAATGAGTCAAATGAAATGCAAACAAGCAAGCCAATGAGTAAACGAGCAAATGTACACTTTTTCAGTCTTACCTTTAACGTCTCGGCAACCAGCGGCATCTCGATGTCCACAGTGAACCACAAGACTCAACACGGCGTCTTAACTCTGAAAGATTTGGATGAGCCGGTGAAATTCTCCGTTATTGCTGGCCAAAAAGCCTTCCTCGGCCTCAAAGTGACAAAACACGACGAAACGGTATGTTTTGGTGGTTTAATTTCTTGTTTTCTTAACAACAAAATTTGTTTGATCCACTACAAATCTTTATAGGAATGGGATTTTTCCAATCTTCGTCGAGCCGCCTTCATTTTGTCGGAAGTTGTTGAAGATGGATACAACGTTGTACTTGGGCGGTTCACTGGTAGGAAAATTTACCTTTTATAAAAGATAAGTTCAATTTTTATTTTCGTTTTACATGCAAGCCATGCCAACTTGATTTACCTCAATTTTTCGTAATCGGTACCGGGTGCGGCAGAATTATGAAACGGATGCTTATTGAATTAAAAGAAGAAAATGAAGAGAGTACCACCGAGTCTTATATGTCATTTGAAAGCTCCTAGTGAATACTACAAAAGAGAATGGCTAAAATCAACAATTTGTGCCAATTTTGGAAAAATTAAACGACTTGAACACCCCCATGAACTCCTGAATCGAGGTAATTCCTAAAAATAGTGATTTACAAGATTTTAACCTGTATTTTGTCCTGAGAATATTAGTGTTTAGTGAAAATTTTTCTAAAAGTTATTGAAAGAAACATTTAGGTTTAATCGGTTAAAAAGTGTTTTTGAAAATTTGAATGTTTCTCTCAAAAAACACTACTTTTCAATATTTACCTTTTTTTCAGTTTCTAGCAGAACTTATGTACTACCGTATTCTCTCTAATAGTAGTGCACCCTGAGCGTTGTCTAAATTCCTCGAAATCTCGAAAACCGCTTATCGGAACCTATCGATGTAGCTGACGATGTGATGTAGCTGTAGCTGACGATGAGATCTAATAAAGCAAAAAACGTTAAAGATATTCAGTAAACGGGCTAAATGCTCTACACGAAAATTAGCAATACAAAAGGTAATTGATTGTTTTGATCGGAAATTTGAATTTGGTGTCGAATATTCGGCACACTCTCTTCATTTTCTTTTAATTCATCAATAAGCGTTCATTCCAGTCCATTTTGCCGCACCCTGTACTGGAAGGTTCGTCTTTTAGCGCTAACTCGACGTGAGATCACCCGTGGTCAAGCGTTCTTGGAAAACAAGAAAGAGGAAAAGCAAATTCTTGAGAACACTCGAGCCAAGAAGAAACGACTTGATGGCTTACTCGGCTCTATGGTTAGTGAATTCTTTAGGCTTTTGTATTAAAAGCAGTAAACTTCAGGATTCAACGAAAGCCAGAGCTGATTTGAATCAAAAATTGGTCAAAAGGCTCGCAAATACGGGCACTCATTCTGCGATTACAATGGCTTGTCATGATGTTCATCTTAACGTTCTTGGATTGAAGTTTTGCAAGACTGATTTCAATGAACAGATGCTCTATGAAAGGCTTAAAGAAGTTAGTCTATTCAAGGATCACAAAAGTGTTTTTATTTAGATTTATGGGATCGGCCTTAGTCATGCCTATGTTCTTTGTGTGTTCAACGATCTTCTAAAAGAAGAAAATGTAGTGAAAATGAAGGCTTTTTGCAAGTAATTTTAACAATGAAAAAGATAATTAATGAAAAACTTTTAGATATATTGAAACAAAAGATTCGAACACCCTGGCCTTTACCTCCACTCTCAAATGGGTAAACGAGGCTGTACTCGAGTTAATTGATGCGTGTGAGGTGTGAAGAAATTGATTGTTATTTGGAAGATTTCAACATTAACTTTGTCAACTATTTAGGATGAACAAATTGCCATTTTCACCAGTGCATTGGAATCAATTCTGAGCGATATCTCTGCCTATGACTTCACACGTAAACTTGACACCTCCTTTTACATTTGGGAGCCCACAAAACCCGAGAAGCCACTGGAGTCGTGCTGTTTACCCATCAGCTTCTTTGATGCAAGAGAACATGTAAGTTAATTAGTTTTGCATGTAAGTTTTGCAAAAGATTTAAATATAATTTTAAACTTTTCGATTAGAAAACAATCAATCAACAATTTAGAGGGAACTTCTTGCCAAAACACCGATTTCTTCTCTATGGGAATGGAAAAAACGGGGTGATTTGAGGTTGAAAGGCTCTCCGAATAACTACAAATTGGTTCGAGTTGAGGCCATTGATCAGACTCTATATCAGGTAGAAAATGTGGTTTAAATGCTAGTAGTTTAGCCAAATAATCTCAAATTATTTTCCGATTTTGATATCTCTTTTCTGAATCATAAGTTACAAACAGTTTTTTTAGGGAATTTTCAACACGGCCATGTCAGTCAACACAGTGATCAAGAGCCTTCAAGAAGCGGGAGTCTACTTTGATACGTTAACAACCGGAATGGATTTAATGGTCGATCATGAAGCCTTACTGTCATCTTTTGACCCGTTTGTCGTTTGCTTTAAAGCTGCCGTCTCGTTTGATTAGCATGTTTTTTTTGTTATTTTCTACAATCGACGTTTTGTTGATGAAAACTTTCTTTTGTTTGGAGGAGATTTTGACCGGTACTGTAGATAGGATATCGTAAAATTCCTAGCATTACTGGATGAACTTTTAGTCATGTCAAAATTTGCTTTTTTTCACTTTCAAGTAACTTTTTTGATAGTTTGAAATGCTGTACTATTCAAATTGTCTTTTTCAAAGTATTTACTTCACATTGCCACAACATTTCATAAATTTCATAAAAGTTCAGCTTCTTTCACGCTTTCATCTTTCTCACTTACACGATTCTCGTTTTAATCTATCGAAATCTGCATCTCACACAGCCTTGGCTTTCTGTTGGAGGCGGAGTCACTTTTGTAAGATCTTTAGTTTGATTAGTTAAAAGAATATATAATAAAACTCAAATTCAAGCTCAACTTTTAATAATCGAATGTCCATTCTTAGTGTCCAATGTACTTCACGGTGATCGCTCCCTGGATAATCTATTGGATTGTGGTGAAAAGCGAGAAAAGACGAGTCAACGAAACGAACAATGTACTCGATTTACTTGATTTGGAGAAAATGGCAAATGTTATCTACTTGATTAGCATATTTTTTTGTTATGTTCTACAATCGACGTTTTGTTGATGAAAACTTTCTTACTTTTTGTAGACAAAATTTATTTAAATCTACAGAATAAATTTTCTAACAAAACCACACTAGCAATCACATTCGAACAGTGTCACTCTTCTTCTTCTTCGCCACTCGATTGACCTTCTGAGCTTTCTGCCAAAGCCAAAACCAAACCTTCGCTTGACGATTGTTGCCCTTCAGAAAGGAATTTGTCGATTTGTTAAGTTGTTGTTTTAAAAGATTGATTATAAAACATGAGGAGCGCTTTTTGAGAAGTGTGTGCTTACAACTTTGCTAGAAACATTCTATGTTGAATCCGAAACTGTAGACAAATCTTAAAAAGTGATGATTTAATGAAAAGTGGCGATCGCCTTATCACACTCATTCGATCCTTGGTGAAAGGGGCCATTTTATTAGAGGCGGCCTCTCTATTACAGTATTTATGGTACCATGTCCGTTGAGCTCATCCAGTAACCACCCACGACAGCCCTCCCAGCAATTCCCTTCAACCATGTACTTTAAGGAATTTTCGGATACGGACCCTTTTAAAAAGTATATTTATTTGACACGAATAATCAATTACAACACAAAGGAGGGAATTTTTACCCTTAGTTACCCCTATTACCCAAATGTTGTTAAGAAAAAACCCATAATGATGGGAAAAAGAACCTATTTTTCTGGCCGCCGGGATCGAACCTTTGACCTGCCAACTAAGTGGAACCCATTTTCCAGCCCGATCGTCTTCTAAAACGAAGCTGCAAAGTTGAACACTAAAAAAAAACGACATTTGATAACGACTACAGTTTCGAATTCAACATAGAATGTTTCTAGCAAAGTTGTAAGCACACACTTCTTAAAAACGCTCCTCATGCTTTGACCTATTCAAACCCTATTCAAATTTGTATCAGAAAAGTGATAAACACAAGAAACGAACCTGATTCGGGGGCCTATTATTAGCAGTTCAGAAATCACTGATTTCATTCCGAATCCGTCGTTTTGGAATTCAAATTGTACCAGGATATCGTCTAATTTATCGGAAAAGCGACGGATTCGGAAAAGCGACGGATTAAACTCTATTTCTGAAATGTTAAAAAGAGGCGTCTTTTCTTGTGCTTTACACTTTCCTGTATTCGTTCCTAGGTTCCTATTCGAGCCAGCACCCTCGAATCGACTTGTGGGTGAGTTTTCAATCGGTCACTTTGGTCAGTTGAACTTCCCTCGTAAGATGAAATCAATGCAACTTGGAATGCTTGATCTTTTTCTATAAAGCATAAAAAAAAGTCTTTATTTTCGTTCAGATACGATCACACATCGTAGCGCCGATCAGATACAATTCATAGTAGAGCCGATCTTCCTTTCCCGCTAAAAGCGGACAGCTACAGGCGTTCCATGACAACGTTGCACTCAAATCTGAATATAATATTTGATTTTCTTTCTTTGCGTGTAGATAGCGTCGTCAGTTTGGTTAAGATATAGAAAATTCACTACCAGGCCTGCTCAAAATCATTTTTTTTCAGGCTCAGACCATAAACTACCAGGTGGGGGTCATATGAAATGGCCGCCGTTTGAGTGGTCGACTTTGCAGCTGCCATTCACATTATTTTATCATAGTAACTATGCCAGATGTTATTCAAAAGCTCTTGTATCAGGTAAATTTGTTTAACAACTCGACCTCGTCGGGATCAGGAGTATCGACCGCGTCGGAGCTCTAAGAAATGTTCTTTTTCGTATTTTCTTTTTTCTGGGTTTTTGCATTTCTTTCATTTATGTTTTTGTTTAGGTTTTTCACTTGTTTTTCAGTGAATGGGAGGGATGGGTTATTTGAATAAATATTTTTTTGGGGATATTCTGAATCTGAAGCCACATTTCAAAGTACTTATCAAGTTAGCAGAATATGGATTTCAGGGCTGAAAGGCTCTCAGTACTGAAAAGGCTTTCAGTACTGAAAAGGCTTTAGTGTTATGAAATTTGGTTATGGAAAACTATTACTTGCTTAGTAAACTTTAATATAAAAACATAGAGAAATTTTTGGTCAAACTTCACCTAATTATCCGAAGGGGTGAATTCACTGAAAAGGTCTATAACTCAAGATGTAAAAGTACGATCGACTTTAGCTTCTTAGTTAAGTTAATTAGATCAGGTGGAAAGTTTCTACTATACCGTATTCTCTCTAATAGTAGTGCACCCTGAGCGTTGCCTAAATTGCTCGAAATCTCGAGAACCGCTTATCAGAACCTATCGATGTGAGATCCGAAAGTGTAGCTGACGATGAGCTCTAGTGGGGGATTTGAGTGTTGAGTCTCTGCGAAAACTTAGAAACTGTAAAATGGGCATCAACTCGGCTATGCCATGTTTCGCAGGTGTTATTCAATTCAAAAGCTCTTGTAACAGAGAAATTTTAGAGATAAATAACATACACATAATTTGCAGACAAAAATTTTGGAGCGCTTTCTAGAAAACGTTAGTTTTAACAAAAACTCAACGTTTTTTATGAATGTTACTCGAAAAACTATAAGTAAACATACAAACCGTCAATTACAAAGATAAACTAAACGTTATAAGCTATCGAATGATAGCTTATAACGTCTAGTTGACAACTGCTTAGATTAGATTTGATACTAGGAGTTGATACTATGATAAAATAATGGGAATGGCCGCGGCAAAGTTTGCCAGACAAACGGCGGCCATTTCATATGTCCACACCTGATAAAAGCCTAAAAAAGACAGTAAGACCGGGATTTTAGAAAGAAAGAAAGAGAAAGTAGGAATTTTTACACTATTTGTTATAGTCTTGTGACGGTTTCGTCGCATGTGGGTCAAAAACCTCAGCCAGAACCCCGGTCCCGGACCCCGGGCATGGCCCGGGATCCCGGCCTACCTGGCTTTCTGACTTTTTGAAGCACTTCTGGTCACCACTGCTTTTATTAAAGATATTGTATGTCTTGTCATGTATTGATTTCTTGCAATTTACAATATCTTTCTAATTCTGGATTTCGGTATGGATTTAGGCGAAGGACAAAGGGCGAACAAATCGATCTTATTCTACATGACAAGTCTACAATCAGTCTTATTCTACATGACAAGTCTACAATCAATCTTATTCTACCGAACAAGTCTATAATCAATCTTATTCTTAAACAAATCTTACACAAATCAATCCCGTCTCGAATTTCTTGTGGTCAATATTTTTCAATTCTGTTTTTCAGATTTGTATTCCGCGACAATTCTGCATCGACAGGTAATTTTCGTGCAAATCGAAGCAATTTCGAAAAAGGTTCGGTCAAAAATATCAATTCTTCAGTTTAATACTGTTTCTTGACCACTTGACCATAAGTTTTTCTCAAATAATCTCATGACAAGTAGTAGAAGTAGTAAAAGTCGAACAGTCGTACAGTTGGTATGATTTTTTTTTTTCTACCAGCAACATCTTGCAAATCAAATTTGCAGACTCAACTCCATCATGGATTTCCGCAGCAGATAGATAACATTGCGGTTGAACTGATCATCCTACCGATTGAACAGTTTAACAGTTCATGTGGAACCCATTTTCCAGTCCGATTTTTCTTTCCAAGTTGATGCAAATGGTTTTCAATTGAAGTATGGGAAACATCAAATAACCCCGTTAACTCTCGAGGTTGAACTGATCATTCTATAACTCTCGAGTAGTGAGTGCTAGATCATTCTCGATTTCCACCAAAAAATCCGTGTTTGACACTTCTTGAGGATGCATTCCGCGTGGCTCATCCTGGAGACATCCTGGAGACATTCAATGCCGCGTTGGAAACGTTGAAACCATGCACGGCACTGTCTATCGCTAATATTTTCTTCTCCAAAAACAGAAATAATTGTACGATGCGATTCAGCCGCAGATTTTCCTTGTTTAAAATCGTAAAGCAATAAAGTCAGAATCAAAAATTTTTGGTCTTCTATTTTAATATTGTAAAAAGAATGATGAAATTTCGAAAAGAAGAGATGGAGGAGGGAATTGGCAATGGAGAGGAGGAGGAGGAGGGGGTGGAGGGAGAGGACAATGGAGAGGTGCACAGCAACAACGCCACTCTCACGAACACATCGAGATCGAGCAAACCGACTACGATGAGAACCGCTTTGTCATCCCGCGAATGACCCAGAATCCATGGGCGAGGCTGAAGCAAGCTGAAGAGGCGAACACGTAAAAGATATTGTAGTTTGTCTTTATGCAAAAAGCGTGAAGAAAGCTCTTTTGAAATTCAGAAAAAAAACTCATAAAAAAGTGAGCGAAAGTTTGAAAGTTGCCAACCTAATCACTTTGAGGTTGAACTGATCATTCTATTAGGGTGGTGCAAAAGAAACTGCCGATGGGTCTCAGCTCTCATTTATCCGAAACGAGC